TTATTAATATTAATTTAAGGTGCGTTTTAAATTAGTATATTTATAGTATTTATAGTAATAAAAATATCCGGACCGAAAACTTCTTTAACTTATATTTAATTTTACTAATATTAATTATATATAGAATTATTGAATATAATTATATAATTTCTAATTATTAGTATTTTAATAGCCGTACAAATTATTAAACCGGGTTTTTTCTTACCTAAATTTATAATTAAAATCGTTTTCGTATCTTCATTTAAATAGTTTACAAATTCGGCGGTAATTATCGCTCCCTTAATTATAAATTACCATTCGAAGTTAGAAAGGGTAAATTTCTTAATAGTAATAGTAGATAATTATTAAAAGGTAGTACTAATCTTATTTGGGACGGCTTTTACTATAATATCGGCCTAATACTTCGGTACCTCCTAGGCGCCTTTTTTAATTTCCTTTAAAATATCCTTCTTTAAATTGTCGAAATCCTTTTTAGTAATAAATTAGTCGGTTCTAACCTTATTAACCTCGGATTGTAGGGACCTACTTTTTCTAATACGTACTTTTATAAATTCGAAAAGTAATTCTCGAACCTAACGTCGGTCTTCGGTCGAAACAGTATTATAGTTTATAGATTTATTCGCTCTAATAATAAATATCTTTAATATTTTATTATTTTTTCTTATTTTTTCTAAAATCTTCGTAGTAAGTACAGCCTTAGGGTCGTTATATGCTGAGATTTCCGCGAGCGGGTTGTAGACGCTGTTTTCGAGCCTACGAATATTGCTATCGATAGCCATCGGTAATAATAATATAACGCCGTCGCTACGCTCGTCGTAGGACATTGTAAGGGACGTAAACGACCCTCCTAAGTCGATTGCCGTTATTAGTTTTCGTTTTGGAGTTAAAGAATAGAATATTCCTTATAATTATCGATAAAGTATCCCTTCTTTCTATATAATTTATAATAAATAAGTAATTAATTTTCATTAAAAGGGTAATTTATTTCGCTAAAGTAATTTCCTTTATATTTAACTTTGCTATACCGGGCGTAAATATCTTTCTAATAATAGAACTTCATCGTATATCCAATTCCTTGATTTTTATAGTATTATTAAATATTATTTGAAGTTTAGAATAGTTCGTACGGATATACGCTGCCGTCCTAAAGAAAAAGGTTACTTTGAAGGAAGTATACTATTAATATAATAGTAATTTTTATTAAGAATGGATTTTTATTTTCTCTATCCCTTCTCTTCTATAGCCGAATTCTAATAATAATTACCTTCGTATTCCTTTCCCTCGCTATTTTTATTAAGATTTCTATTATAATATAGGGGGGATAGCTCAGTTGGGAAGATCTGAGCTTGGCCCCCTTTCGGTTTTCATCCGAAAGGTCGTAGGTTCGAATCCCGCTCCCCCCCCCCTCTTTCATCCGGTTTTTTGGCCGGATTGGATAAAAGATCTTCCCCGCTATCGCTCTACTGAACATTCTTAGAAGAAGAAGAATATTTACAACGAAATCAAATATAGGAGCCTACCCTAATTTAAAACCCTAGGTATATATAATTAGGTACGTATTAATAATCTTATTTTAATTAAAAATACGCCGGCCTCCCCCGTTCTACTAATAGGGTTTTAAGAATTAGAACCCTACCTCCGAAATTTATTCTAGAACTATGGTTCCGTTCGGATAGAACCCGTCTAGTAATACGACAATTAATTAATTATATTATGTTGCTAATTCTAATAAAATTAAAGACTCCGATTACGAAAGTAAAACCCTACTTTTCTACCCCTACCCTAAAGATAGGATGAAAGAAGAATACCCGTTTCCGGAACGAAGAATGCTATTAAAGTATTAAGTAGGGAAGTAGGGTTTAAAAAGACTAATTAGAAGTAATAAAGTCTACCGGGATTAAAGAGATAATATATTGAGAGAAGATAAGACGAAAGAAGTAATTACGGCTCCTCGGGCCCCCTATAGTGAAGTAGGACGAAGGGTTCGGGTTAGGGTTAGGGTTGGATATAGAGAAGCTAAGGGTTTTTATCCGGATTTTAATAATACGGTTTTTTCCCTTAGACTACGAACGAAGTAGTACCGCATACCCCTTGGGTAGACTAGTATAATTAGTTAGCGTGATAAGACAATATATATATATTATAATATAATTATTAATCCTAACCTAAGGTATACTTCGGATTAATATACCTATAATATTTATAGTAATAAAAATATCCGGACTAAAAATTTTTTTAATTTATATTTAATTCTACTGATATTAATTATATATAGATTCGTTGAATATAGTTATATAATTTCTAATTATTGGTATTCTAATAACCGTGTAGACTTTTAACCTAGGTTTCTTCTTATCTAAATTTATAGTTAGGGTTATTTTTGTATTTTCATTGAAACGGTCTATGAATTTAGTAGTAATTATTGCTCCTTTAATTGTAATTTGCTATTCGAAGTTAGAAAGGGTAAATTCTTTAATAATAATAGTAGGTAATTATTAGAAGGTAGTATTAATTTCATTTGAGATAGTTTTTATTATAATATTAGTTTAATATTTTAGTACTTCCTAGGCGCCTTTTTTGATCTCCTTCAAATATTCTTCTTTAAATCATTAAAATCCTTTTTAGTAATAAATTAATTAATTCTAACTTTATAAGCCTCGGGTTATAGGGATTTATTTTTTTCAATACGTATCTTTACGGATTCGAAAAATAATTCTCGAACTTAACGTAAGTTCTTAATTAAGGTAGTATTATAGTCCGTAAATTTATTCGCTTTAGCAATAAATATCTTTAATATTTCATTATTTTTTCCTATTTTTTCCGAAGTCTTCGCGGTGAATGCGGCTTTAAGGTCGTTGTAAATTGAGATTTCTACGAGCGGGTTATAAATACTATTTTCAAACCTATAAGTACTACTATTGATGGCTATCGGCAATAATAATACAACGCTATTGCTACGTTCGTTGTAGGATATTGTAAGTGATGTAAACGACCTTCCTGAGTCGATTGCCGTTGTTAGTTTTTGTTTTAGAGCACTCCTCGATTAGAAATCGGCGTTTCCGGTTTCGGCGTCGTTTCTTTTATTCGAAATAGTTTTTACTATAATATTAATTTGTTATTTAATTACTTTTTAGGCACTTCTTTTAATCTCTTTTAGAATATCCTTCTTTAAATCATTAAAATCCTTTTTAGTAATAAATTAGTCGGTTCTAATTTTATTGGCTTCGGGCCGCGGGGACCTACTTTTTTTAATATATATTTTGGCGAATTCAAAAAATAATTCTCAAATTTAACGTCGGTCCTTAATAAAAACAGTATTCTAATCTATAAACTTATTCCCTTCAATAATAAATATTTTCAATATTTTATTATTTCCTTCTATTCTTTCTAAAGTTTTTATAACAAATACGGTTTTGGGGGTCATTATATATTAAGATTTTTGTAAGCGGATTATAAACGCTATTTTTAAACCTACGAGTACCACTATCGATAACTATTGGCAACGACGATGCAACGCCGTCGCTGCGCTCGTTGTAAAATATTATAAAGAACGTAAACGACCTTCCTGAGTCGATTGCCGTTGTCAGTTTTCGTCTTAGAGCACTCCTCGACCAAAAATCGGCGTTTCTAGTTTCGGCGTCGATTTTTGGAAATAATCATTTTCAAAATATAATAAAGGTAAAGAATTTTACAAGTAATATTAGTTAGGTTAATATATAATTGAGAAGGATAAGGGAGGAGATTATACTAATTCTAGGGAGCTATAAAGCTAAGAAAATTATAGAGGATACGAGTGAAGATTGCGGGCTCTAAATATATTAGAGATATAGAATCTAAGAATAATTTAAAGGAAGAAACTTTTATATTCAAAATTAAATTAATTAGGTTAGGGTAATAATAGTTAGAGGAAACTATTTTAAATAAAGTTATAATAGGGAAGAAGGAGGAAGGGAATTAAGAAGGAGCGCTATAGGGAGGATTATATAAAAGAAGGAGATGATTTTTATACTATTATATATAAAGGTAGAATTATAGGGTAGGAGGTGAAGGGTTAGGGCGGAGGTGATTATAAATAGAATAAGGAAATAGGGAAGTAAGGAAATAGATAGGAAAATAAAATAAGGAAGTAGGGAGAGGGTAAAGAAAGGAGTAATAAATATAAAATAGAGAAATAGTAAAGGAAGGTAGCGCTTTAAATTAAAGGTTTATTCCTATCATTTTTATTATTCTAATATTAAAATAATATAGTAGTAGAAGAAACGAAATTAGTTCGTTATAATAGTAGGTAAGAATCGTTATAATTGTAAGCAAAGTAGGAGCGGCGTAGAAATCTACGACCGAGACGTAGTTAGGAGTTTTTATCCGGCGGTGCTTAACGCTACACGGTTTTCCCCTCTAGGGAACTAGAGAAGGACCCTATGCCAATAGGGCACTATAGTTATATAGTACAGGGAACAAGATTATTATTATTATTATTATTATTATTATCATAATAGGTAGTCTAAGCGTTCCAAAAACTATATATTTAGAAAGAGCTCAAAAAGACCATCCTCTGAGTAATTCTTCTATATTTGTACTATTTTTCTTTATTTTATTAAAAAGGGTTATACAAAAAGGAAACCTAGAATTTGTATAGGAGTTTCTGCAGCCGACGGCGTTTTTGCGCAAAACCGTAATAAACCTCCTCTTACAAAAGTTCGAGGAGGGGAGACCCACATAATTGTGGGGCGGGTCCGCTGAAGGTTGTCGTCGGAGGTCAATGTAATAGAGACTAACAATCCCCACTCTGTGCCCTACCCAGACCGTACCACATCTGGCCTTCTAGACTCCGCCAGTCTCCCTCTCTCTCTCCTCTTCTCCATAGCACACACTCAATCAATCGTATTCAACCGCTTGATCTCGTTGGTGATCTCACAAAATGTCTCCCTTCTAGGTATTGTCTTTGGAATACTGAGGAGGCTGTTCCGAAGCCCTGTCTCTACCCTGGCTTTTTGACGATTTAGACCAATCACATAGTCTAGATCGCACATTTCTCCCCTGTTCAAAGTCGGAAGAAGTCCCACGCTAACAATCAAACCAGTATTGAACTGTATGTTGAAATGAACCAAAGACCTTGGCCCCGGTACGAATGCAAAAAGCAGTTGTGTAACTGTGCCTTTACAGCCACCAAAACTAAATTTTTGCTACCGCTATACCGCCTGCCCGGACAACCCCCAAGCTGCAACATTGATCCAAATCCCACTTCTCCCTTGGTATAAGAAAAACTAATAATGCCGCTGTCACCTATGCAAGCATTGAACAAAAACAGTGCCCGTTGTTCTCGTCACCCAAACGCCGCCTACCCAAGGTACATGAATCCGTGGCTCTACCAGTTCAACACATTGTATATCGTCTTGCGGGGATCACCCTCGGTCTCGATCAGGTACCGCTCTTTCCTTTTCTCCATGACGCTTGGGGTGTTTTGTTGAGAGAAGACCCGGTTCAGCGTGTTGGACTCATTCCGCAACTGAGAACGGACATATGAGACGACGGTGTAGACTTTCATGACGAAAGGTCTCCAGTTAGGACCAAACATGAGCAATACGGCGCCGCCGATGGATAGGTTCGCGCTGGGGCTGGTTATGCTTACCTGCACCAAAGACAACCAGGCCGGGTACAGCCCTTGGCAATAGTGCTGATCTATTATGACATAAGCATACATTCGTCAAGCGGGATGAAACGGCGGGATGGCCATCTACCTTATGGCAGGCGTCTTGAGAAGTGTATGTGGCTGCGAAGACACACGCAGGGGCATAGTGGGCCTGAAGGGATTTGGGCGGTAGGCAGTCATCTGTGTGTTTTGATGTGCAGCGCAACTAGCTGACGTCGAGTTCCAAAGGCCCGCCTTAGGTAAGGATAATGGTCTAACAATCAGTCGAGGTCTGGTGAAGCAGAGGCCGAGTAGGACCGATTTAATCGGGGGAAGGGGATATTTAATTTGGATATAACGGGCGGTATTGCACGCAATTGGACGTGTGCGGTTCGCGTTGTCTTGCTGGAGTTTTGGTTCGGTGGTGCGGTTGTTGGCGTGATGTGGTCTCGTGAAGGCGACGATATGGGGTGACGGTGGTGGCCCAGCGAAACTGCGAATGGCTACAAATGGCTGTGAATGGTTCGATGGAGGCTATGGGTGGTGTTTTTGGTGTCCTCGCGGCCAATTCCGATCGCCAAGCTCAACCGATTCTGACCAGGTCTCAGCCGATGCGAAGCCTGCCGTGCCTGCTTCGAGAAGCACCTGCTCGGGCTCAGCTCAATTTGAATTGAGTTATGCTTCGCCAGAAGTCCAACTAAATGTTGTAGGATACGATCCCGGTTGATTCCGACTCTGAGGTTCCCGACATGGTTCCTGCCCCAGGTTTTGGCTCAGCTCGCCTTAGCTGCTTTTGCACGTTGCGTTGTTGCTGGATGTTGCCCCTGCCTCTTGTACCCATGGCTAACTCGTGAAATACTAGGCGACCATCGACATGGTACTTCGGTTCTCGTCCGTTTTTACCACCTCAACGCCGTGTATCTGCGATTTGCTCACCAAATCTGCGTCTGGCGATGGCTTCAACCTGGCATCAAATTCAGCCACTGTACTTTCCCTAGCGTGTTTGATCTCATTATCATGTGGGTCTGCTTCGGACCCGTGACTATCGGCCGTATCACAGATGTCGCACTCATCTCGCTGTTCATATCCCTTTCCAAGATTGGCCATCATCCTTTGAAATGATGCCATCGCCATCCTCTCATCTGAGATGCCCCGGGGTTTGGTGTAAAATGGGGGTCACTCACCTCACCGTGCCCATACCTTCGATTTGAGAGTCGGAGTGTGACGGTCCATGGCTTTGCTTACATATCAAGAACACTACCATCGCTCATTGCGTGATTCGCAAGCAGCTGTCGTCATGGCCTCTCCCCTCTTGATGAGGCATCCGATCTGCCTCAGCTCGTCTCTTTATTAAACCACCGTGATGTCGAGTTCTTCACCAGAACGACGCTCGTTACTTCTTCGATTATATTGCTACGCCGCTCTCCATTCTGTCCGAGCGAATCAAGACGCCAGAAACTTGCAAACAACTAGCCAGAAACCAGTCGAAAGCCAGTCTCAGGGCTGTCGTGCTCGCCCAAGATGCCTACCGAGTTCATCAGCTTGACATTTCCCAATGCTTCCACGGAAATCAATCCGATCCCGGGTGCCGGCATTGATCCTGCTTACCTGGTTCGCTATGCCCGGACGCTCGATGACTACGACTTCAACTACACTCTTGTGCCCTATGATTCTTCCTCCTATGACCCTTTTACCATAGGCGCCACTATTGCCGCCGCCACCAAGAACCTCAAGATCATCATCGCGCTGCGTCCAAACACGCTTTATCCAACCGTCGCTGCGAAAGCACTAGCCACGATTGACCAGATTAGTTCAGGTCGAGCCGTTGTACACTTGATCGCCGGCGGGAGCGATGCTGAGCAAGCCAAGGAGGGCGACTTCCTACCCAAAGACCAGCGCTATGCCCGACTCGAGGAGTACATCCGCATCCTGCGTCGCGCCTGGCAGTCCGCAGAACCCTTTGACTGGGATGGCACGTTCTATCAGTTCAAGCAATTTTCCAACCGCGTTCGTCCCGTCAATGGTACCGGCATCCCAATCTCAGTCGGTGGCTCATCGGAGGAAGCATACCGAATTGGAGGCGCCTTAGCCGACATCTTTGGCCTCTGGGGCGAGCCTCTGAAAGAGACCAAGGAGCAAATTGACCGCATTTACCAAGCAGCTGCTCGAGCTGGCCGCCCCAATTCAGACCGTCCTCGCATATGGGTCACCTTCCGGCCCATCATTGCTGAGACAGATGAACTGGCTTGGCAAAAGGCATATCACACACTGGATGTTTTGAAGGCGAATCAGGCCCGTGTTTCGGGAGGAGGAAGCCAGGCGTCCGACAGCAAAGCGCAAGTTCGAGCCCCCACACCGCAGAACGTGGGCTCTCAGCGGTTGCTAGAGATTGCTTCACGTGGAGATGTTCATGACCGTGCGCTCTGGTATCCCACCGTCACTGCTACCAACGCTCGCGGCGCATCGACCGCTCTTGTGGGATCCCCTCAGACTATTTCTGATTCGATCCTCGACTACATTGATCTCGGAGCCGAGCTCATTTCCATTCGTGGCTATGACAACTTGGACGATGCCATTGACTACGGACGCTATGTTCTCCCAAAGGTGCGCAGCGCGTTGCAGAAGCGCAAGAACAAGGGGGTAGATTCTGCGTAGAGATATTGTGGCTTGCCAACTGTTACCTATCAGACAGACAGACAAACATAACGTTAATGATAGTCCTTTCCATCACTGCATTCACTGCGGGGTTTCTCCGTAGTGACAAGGTCTTTGTTGAGTTGGGTAAAGCGAAAGAGGCGTTCAAATGCCAGCATCACCATGAAAATTCCTTGCCCGCTCGTCTGTCGATGTAACACGACCAAGACTGCGGACGACTGAAGTCATGCCTTTTGAGGGCATTCCCAGTCTTGATTCTTATCCATTCGACCAATATCAATACCCCTTACCAGAGTTGCCGTGATCTTGGACAACTCTATGCGGGCAATCTGCTGGCCTGGGCAAGAATTGTACCCTAGCCCCCACTGTCCGAGGAAAAAGGACGAGTCAGCTGGCGGGACAACATGCTCTATGGTGTGTGTTGGTAGCGAGGTCACTTACCGGCATGAAATACGTATCCAGCTCTCATGCGTCCTCTTTCAACCGCCGATACGTTTGGACACTCGCGCATCGGGGCCCCAAAGTCCCCTGAAGTGATTCATCACCCACGGATCAATAGACAGAATGGTACTCTCTAAAAAGTGCTTACTCCTAATGCTCAGTCCACCTGGAAGAGCGGGCTGAGGCGGCGTCATGGAAACAGGTCCAAAGATAAGGAGAGCTTCTTTTGATGTAAGTTTGGAGAAAATAAAGCGTTCTTCAATCTTTCCGCGGGCCCTCTCCCAGGCGTTCAGATTACGATTCGTATAGTAAACGAATGACTAGAAAGCACAGGAAATGGTATCGCTTGCAGCATTCACTACGTCAGTTGCAGCAGCATACCTCTAGACATCCCGCAGCGACATGGCCTCTTTTCCATGGCCCTGAGTCAGTGATTGATCACAATAAATCTGTTCCTGTCACAATCATTGAGACGGCCGTCCGGAGCGCGAACAGTTGTATCATGAATGGGCCGAAGTGCAGAACGTTAAGGGACGTCCTGAGGGGGTAACCAATCAGGAATACGCAAGTTCAGCAGCGGAGGAAGCCCATGGTCGAAGCACACCTCTCGAGATTTATCATCAGGTCATTGCCAATAGCGTTCCCTACATCGCGTTCTTCCTCCAGAACGTCAAACTGGTTGGAGAAGAGTACATCGCCGTCAATGTCGAAGGTAGTGAAGGTACCACCCAACTGCCTACCATAGTGAGTGCTTACTCTTCGAGATGCATCCACGGTCTTTTTGTCACAATACATCGTCCCGTCCGTCGCCAGACGATTGTGCGAAACCTGATCTTGAAGCACAAGATGGAAACAAAGGAAAAGAGCAGTCTACGCTTGCAGCTCGTATCTTCCTCCCGTCTATCCTAGGTACCTCCTGGGCATACCTATGTTGGCAGCACCTGCCCCGTCTTCGACGAGAGTCCGGTGTCTCAGCGTTTCTGATGATGTTGCCATGAGCGATGCATTTGACGAATTTTCCGCTGGCATGCCCGACACAACTCGGTAAACTGCCGCAGTTCAATCCAAGAACTAAAGGGCGGCTGTTGAAACATGTTTCCATGGTTCTGGGTCCGACTGGCACTGCGTGTTATTGTCCCCGGGGGTATCGAAAAACTTTGCACGGCTCTACCAATAGAGAAGGTATGGGCTTCCGGCCAAACACTGAATTTAAAGGTGCCTTCCGTACGTAGACACACTCTTTCCGTGGCCAACAGCGCTGTGCTCGTTACTCACGTGGCCAGCCTTTGAGCTGCAGAACGGGCTACTAAACGAAATCTTCAAGCATCATAACGAGGCCAACTCTTTATTTGGGTGGTACTGTGAGCCATGTCATAGACCATTTGATGGTTTCCCAGAGTCAAAAGAGCGTCGAATGATGAGAAGTGATGTTACCACGTGGGGCCTGCTGTCAAGGTTACAGCATTGTAAGTGCATGTCGAGCATGGCGACGAGCATTGGTTGAGTCATCCGACAATGCTCGACGGCGGGGATATAGAATAACGAAATGTGTACTGCGGTTGCACCGACGTTGGCCAATGACATCAAGTACAGACGCTCGGTCTCGCGTTGTGACCTTGACAGGGCATCGACGAAGGCTGCGTATATGCTCGAAGTGGAAGTATCCCAGCGTTGACGTTAAATAGGTAGCTGCCCTCCAGTCTTGATCAAGGTTCTTGAGAGGTAATGGCTGTGGCCTCTCGACAGAGCACGACCGAACCACACTTGAAAGCTCGGTCCACGATTCACCAGTTTCCAAACCCTCAAAAGTTTCTTCGTCGACGAGGGCATCTACTGCGAATACGGTAACCGGTTGACGTCATGATAATCAACATATCTTTCACCATGTTGCTGGCCAACATTAGCCTTGCAAGTGGTTTGGCTGACGCGCGACTGATCTCTTACAACATCCGCTATGCCACAACATTACTATCAACTAATGAGGAACCATGTTGGGGTTGGTGGGAATGATGGGGCGCAAGATGGGGAGTATTCACCCATTATCTTCCAAGCAGACACCTGGCAAACTGGATGGAAACAAGACGTACTGGCTCAGCCAGACGCCCCACGTGGTTGGTTGGGTCTACGGGATGGGATGCTGCCTTACCGCGTATCGTCACAGTTGCACAGTTCAAGCATCGCACAACAGGTGTGCCTCTTGCATTCATGTGCACGCACTTTGACCATATAGGGACGGTTGCCTGGAATGAGAGCGCCAAGTTGATCATCAAGATAGCTGATGAGTGGATGGTCCAAGGCTCCAACTCAACGAAGCCCGCTCCTGTGTTTCTGGGCGGTGACTTGAACCTTGAGCCTACAAAGGAGGGATTCCAGACTTTAACTACCCCAGGCGCTTTCCAGGACATCAAAGACCTCGTCCCCAAGACACACTGGTACGGCAACGCCAAAACATCGACTAGCTTTACCACATCGACTTTGGACGACATCCGTATTGATTACCTGTTCGTGCGCAATCCTCTTGGCATCCAATTCTCGACGTATGGAGTCTTGACCAACAAATTCGAGGATGGGGTGTGTATTTTGGATCATAGGCCAGTAGTGGTAGACGCAGAAATGCTGGCATGACTGTGTCGCCAGTGAAGAGATGGCTTTGAAAATGTCTGGAGCGGTGTTCCAAGAAGGTGTCTCAAGAATCATCGGATGTTTGCCCCAGGTGCCAAAACGGTCAAGCTTTGAGTGAATCAGGACAAGGAGAAGATCAACAGTACCAGGCTTAGAGCGACAGAATGGAGCGACGGACACGCCGGTTTTAATGGAGTATACCGCTTACCTACTGGGATGATTTATTTGCTACTCGTCTTGGACTGGCGGACAATGACCGCTGCGCATTAAGTATATGTACCTAACCTTCCGTATTACGAGCCAAGGTTCGATACACGTATGTCTTCTCTCCCTCGTCAGACCAGATTTTCAGGTAGCCTTGATTTCAGTACTTCGAAGACAAAGCTTAGACCCTAGGGCCGGAGGGTGAGGACCGATTCATTGGGATCTAAATGCACATTCATGTATTGCGCCTGAGGGGGAAAAAATAACTCCCAAACCAAATAAAACCATAAAAAAAAAAAAAAAAAAAAAAAAAAAAAAAAAAAAAGAAAAGAGAGAAACATAAACAAACAGGAAAAAGCCTGCCCGTTATGAGACAGACTTTTCTGTTGACGTGTCACGACATATAACGTGGTGCTGGTTACGGTAGACGACTGCAGACTCCAGTTAAGTCTCACCCACACAAACCCTTTTAAACTGGAAGGATTGAGATACTAAGTTATACTGACGCCCAACTAAAGAGTGGGGCAATAGAAGTGAGATCTCCCAGGAGATGACTGATGAAAACTCGTTTTCAAAGAATCTTGTAGAAACCAAAGGGGCAAACAAACATAAGCAAGTTCATCGATCTTTAGGGTCCGCTCAACCTCGCCGTTATACATTTTATTTCGGTCACTACTGTGCCCTAGCATCGCTGAAATCCCTTCTTGAACCTCCGCTTCGATACCCAAGCGGTGGAAGGTTCATTGCACTTGATTTTGACCTTTCTATTGGAATTCTCAATACCTCTAACAATTTCTCACCTACAATGGCTGTTTCCCAAACGTTACTAGTGATCCCAAAGTGGGCAGAGTTCCAGGAGCAAGCAAAAGGCGGCGTGATCATAGAAATACACTCCCGGCATGTCAGCGCCCATGAGTTGAAGGACACGCTAGAGACAATGTTTCCACACTCAAAGTACACCATCCAGGTTAGTATCAAGCCAAGGTCCTCCCTCCCCTTTTCACTGTCTGTCTAACAAGTGTTCTCAGCTTAGGAGAGACCGATATTCGATAACGTTTCCGGAGCGACGAAAGTGTGACCTGGATCAGGTGTTGCTCGGCCCCAAACCATCCGGTCAATAATCCAAGCCACCTATAACCGCTCCTACTTCTACTCCTCTATTGGCGATTGAGTCGATTGAGGAGTTACCCTCACCAAATGCAGATACTACCCCGATGATCGGGCCTCAAGAAACTCCTAAGGCCATTCTCATGGGCCTAAAAAGTACGCAGCGGGAAGGAATTTTGCATCGCACCAGGCGTCTTTTGCTAGGTATAGCAAAATGTGCTAGGAATGCAGCAACAGATTTGTCCGTCCATGACTGGCAATATTGATAGCTCACACATGGTTGTCCAGGAAAGTGGAAGAAAGAAAAGAGGGGATTTAAGGGAAGGGTTGAAATCATACGCTGACACCCGGTTGTGGACATCCTCCCGCTAAAGGTTCCGTTCCGATCTCGGGAGGATGTTGAGCCTCAAGCCGCAGTGAGAAGTGCCTCCTTTCCCTGTTCCTTCAAGGTCTGTCTCACAGCCTTCAACACAACGTGGTGGACACTTCTTGGCGCGGCCACAAATCCAAAGTTCCCAGTCAGCTTCCTCCCCTTTGTCAGATCAATCTCCTTTCCATCAACATCCGTAATCATGCCACCAACTTCCTCAAAGAGAAGCATAGCACCGGCATGATCCCAGATCTTCGCATATCTATCACGTCTCTTGTAGACCCAGACCGTCATGTTCGCCAACCCAAGGGCCAGGGTCACCCACCTCGGCACCCACCCAAGCAGGTCGGAACCTGGGAACTCGACACCGAGCCTCTCGGTAGCCGCCTTGTGTGCATCGTCCACGCCCGATCCTGGAGTATTCCAGCATGATACCGACCTCAGCCCGGAAACAGTCACGCCATCCGCATGTCTTTTCAGCAACTCTGAAGCGCCCATGGTCAAACCAGAACCCTGTCCGACAAACAAGGGCCTCACGTACGCCCCGAAACCTCGAACCGCATACACGATACACCCTTCCTCGCCATCTTCATCATCATCGCCCTTGAACACGCTCGCATTGCCCACCGGTGCCGTCGCCTTCCTGCTCAGCAACGGACACGCCACCACGCTGAGAATTTGCTTCCCACCCTCGAGCAGCGCAACATTGATAGCATACTGCTCACCACACACAAAGGTTTTGGTGCCGTCAATCGGATCAAAGACCCACGTCCGTCCCGAGTCGGCACCCAGTCCGTCCTTGCCACCATCGCCGCACCGGTCGACGAGCTCGCACACCTGATCCTTGCTTTCAGGCGCACCCCGCTTCACCACTTCAGCAATCACAGCATGCGACTCATTCTTGTCGTTGCTGGACGAGGAGACCTCGTCAACGCACTCGTGAATGACATCATACACGCGCTGCAGCAGGTCGGGGTTGTCGCGCAGGGCGGCAGCGGACTCCTCGCCTACGAAGCTATCGGTGGGAAAGGAGGAGGAGAGGACCTTGGTGAGGTAGGCCTGGATGGCAAAGTCGGCTACGGTGACGGGAGAGAGGTCTTCGGCTTTCTCGATGGTCCCCTTGTTGGCGGATGCCAGGACGTGTTTGGAGATGCGGGCGGCAAGTTGGATAGTTGGGATGGCGATGGAGATTTCTGTTGCGTATGGCGTATCCATTTTGTATTGTATATGTTTTCGTGCTTTTTTATCTATGCAGAACAGAAGTTCTTTGGAGTAACAAGGGACATATGGCACAAGCTGGGTGATGACGGGAGTGGTGTATTGTTGCTTTCGTATGAGATGACACAAATTACTGAGCGAGGTTGAAATTGGGTAGAGCGCTTACGCATTGAGGCCCCACTTTTAATAACTGCTGTGCTCCTTCCCGTTATACTGGAAACTGTTTGGCTCTGGAATGTGAACATCACCTGACTCCAACAAGGATCGGGGCTGCCACTAGCTAGGAATCAAGCACAACAACTCGATCGAACACAAGAAGGCGCACCAACTTCTCAGTGAGTTCCGAATTTCTCATTTTTTCCTCATTGTGCCACCGCCCTCTGCGGCTAGTGACTTCCTCACATAAGGCAGCAAGGATGGAAACTACAAGGAAGTTCCAAAGACACAAGAAACGTCACGTCTTCTCTTCCAACGGTTCAAGCCCACATCCTCATGATTGTGTGCCAAAGTAGACGGTTATAGCATTAAAATCATATTCTAAGTTATCCAAGGAAACCGTGAGTGATATAGGTACAAGCAATAGACTATTAAATGACAATGAGTGAAAATGGTTCAACTTCTTCCTGGGTTCCAAAGGTCGAACGGGCAACTGTCCTCTGCGGACTACCGACGCCGTGGCAGGTAGAGAGACAGGGGCAATACACGGACAAACAAGAGTGAGGGTGGTGTGTGTATGGGGAGGGTGACATGTATTAGGTATTGACAGCGTATGTCTTCTTTTAACATCCTCGCTAGCAAGACGCGGTCCTTAAAGAGTCCGCCTAGCAAAGGACATTGTCATGACCATCTAGGACGTGACGTCGTAAACCATAACAGTCGTGAAAGCCCGTCAGCCGGCCCTTTCCTCTCTACGTCATCCCAACCTTCAGGCCTGCAAGACCGTGTATACCTGAAGACCAAGACTTTCAGCAAATCGAAAAGTGAGCAAGCTTGCTAAGGCCTGACCAGGCCATTGGCGTAAGTGGTTGCCCATATAGCTGTAAAAAATAAATAGATATAAAAAAAAAAAAAAAAAAAAAAAAAAAAAAAAACCTTGTATCCCAAAATCTCTCATCTCTTCCGTGTCTTCTCTTTTTTTGTGGTATCCGATCATCGTCATCATTTCGGGTATATGCAGGCTCATAAACCGAGGAATTGTCGCCCGAATCCTCTGAACCAAAGCCAATGCGAGGCGTCAAAAACCAAAACCATGGTCTTTTGAGCATTTGGAAAGTCCACCACATGCTATCCGAGACCAGCAGCGCAACAGGCGCTTGCAAAGAAAGCCAAAATCTCAAAAAAGCCCATCCGATACGCTAGATGGTGGCCAGATGCAAAGATATTACAAGTCGCTTTAAAGATTGGTCATAAAAGGGAGGTGGAGCGCACATGTCGTCGGTAAGGCAAATTAGGAATGCCGCGCTTTCTCCAGAAAGGCATTTGAAACACCGATCAAGAAGTTGTTGTCCGTCATCTCAGCTTGCAATCAAAAGACTCATAGTTGAAATCGTGTCGGATACCCAGGACCAACACTTTTCAAAAGCAAGCGTGTGAGGCTGAGGAGGACGACGAGACGGCCGCCGTAGACGCATTTGGAACTGATGTTGAGGCTTGAACTTTGGGATCTGAGGCCCGGGAGACGTTGAATCATGCCGATGCAAATAGTAAGAGATGGACCAAAAGGTTAGAGGATGCCGATATCGCAAAACAACTGCCACATCAAGATCCATCAATTGATGATTGGTTAGTAAACGAGGCGGTGAGCGGGGCTTTAGCGGCCCCGATCGGAGAGGCCTCGTCTCAGCAGATTAACGACATCCAACTACCGCTGCATGGTAAGACAATGCATGGGCCCAAAGGTTAAAAAAGTGGCAGCTCCGCAAAAGAGGCCATAAATCAGACATCACAAAAGGGCCATCCGTGAGCATTGCCAAGGCGGCGGAGAGCTTGTTTCTAGATTCCAATCCTACTGGAATCTTGAGGAGGTGGACGTTGCCGCTCCGCGCGTACCATTGTCGGACGAATCTGTTGTTTAGTTGTCAGTAATGATTATCTCGGAAAGATCAAGACAGAAAGGCTCTAGACTTACCACTGTCACGCTGCATGTGACCGTTGGTGCGTCCCCGTCCGGCAAAGCCGATGCTCTCACCCCAGTCACCACTGCTCGGTCCATGAGGTTGACGCTCCGGAACGCTGCGAGTGCTGTTTCCATTCAAAGGAGAGCGTTGGCTCCCAATTGCGCCAGGAGTCTCTCTGGGCCTGAGGCGGTTGGCGCTGAAGGGCTCGCTCAGCGACAGGGAACCAAGATCCGAAATCAATAGTGAAGTGTCCTTGTTGGAAGCTGCTCCAGGTGTGGTTGGCGTGGTCATTACGCTGTTAGGTCCACCGAGGCTGGCGCTATACTCGCCATACTGAGCAATGCTGGAGCTGTGAAGGCTGCTCTGTGGGAAACCAGAAGCTGAGAGCGAAGGGCTGGGTGTATATGATCGCAGATCCGCGAAGGACTTGACACCGCGTAACGCGTTGATGCCGCCATCGGGGCTGTCAGGAAGCTCCAGAGTCGGGCCGTGTCTGCCCTGTCTACCCAAGGTAGCAAACTGACCCGGAGCATTGGCACGGGACTCAGCAAAGTCAATGGTGGCGGCACGGCTAAGACCACGACGATGAGCATCAGCCGACACACCAGGGGAGATGTGCATAGGAGGCGCCATGCTCGCCAAGGTGGCAGTGGCCGTGTCTTTGATGACGTGTAACTGGCGGGTAGGACCTTCGCCAACTGAACGGTGCTCAAGACCCATGTTGTGAGCCAAAATGTGAACGGTACGACGCTGCTGGGGGGTAATGCTGGCAGGGAAGATGATGATCTCACGGTTGGGATCATTTCGGAAGAGAGTCAACTCGGTATAAAACTTGAGAGTTTCGGGGTTGTTGAGGTCAACATCTCCTGTAACATCATCCTGGTTAGAGTTTGGCGGCAAAAGATCGCGGCGAGACGACTTACGCAACGGCGAGTTGCGAGACCTGCTAGTGTGAGCGGCATTCAAGGAGTGCATGGAAGACTGGGAGTGCAGGGCAATGGGCTGGTGTTGCTCCTCCAGCTGGCCGCGCTTCTCCCTCTTCTCGCGCTCGATGCGCTCTCTCTCGTGCTCAGGGAGCATCTTTTTGTACTCCACCCTCAACTTTCTGCCTTGAACCTCGTAACCATTGAGCTGCTCGATGACGGTCTGGGTATCCAGGGGGCTTTGAAAGTTGGCAAAGGCAAGACCACGGAAAATGCCGTTATCAAAGTGGTAGTTGAAGGCATAAGGCTGGGGAAGGCCAAGGTCGGTCATGATTTGGGTAAGCATCTCCTTCCTCACGTTGAAAGGAATGTTCTTGATGACAATGGCGGTAGGGATGAGGTCGCTGCCGAGGGTCTTGGAATCGTGGCGAGGGTCGTACATGCTGCCGGGATAGCCATGGCGGTCACCTGCGAAGTTGCCATCGCCGTTCAGAAGACCCACAGACTGGCCAAAAGTGGAAGAGTACTGTGTCGAAGGGGTGTTGAGAGCATGGCTTCCAAGGCCATTTTGTTCGGACATCCATTCCTAAAAGCAAGCGACAGAACCACGGTCAGCAAACATGCATCGTACATACATGGCAGGTAGTGAGAAAGATAGCGGACAGGAGAAAGGGGCGGGGAGAAAAGGGTTGGTGATGGTGCTAGATGTGCTGTAGACTAAAGATGAAACGAACCGTGGGGAGAGCCCGACGACCGCCATTGCGCACCCTATTGTCGCCCAAAGCGCCATTCACAGTGTTTGCGCCGGCGTTATAAGCCCAAGCCTGGTTGTTTCCATTGAAGCTGTCGGTCGCGAAGGCAGCAGCGGGTTGTAGCCTGTTGTGTCGGAAGGCGGCGTTGTCGTAGGAAGCGAAGCGATCGTCGGCGGCGGCGGCGAAGAGGGCAGCAGAAGGCTGGCCGATGGCCTCCATCTGCCGCTGTGTCATGCGACTTACGCCCGTGAGGCCGACGGCGGTGTTGTAGCCCGGCCGCGAAGAGCCGGGAGAGCGGTTCGCGTTGTTCATGGGGTAGGCGGAGGGAAAGTAGCCCGAGATGTCTGGCTGTGGATTCATCTTTTTCTTTCTCCTTTTTGTTTTTCTTGGGGTTCCTCCAAGCAAAGTTGTTGTGAGGAGGCGGCCGAGACAGCTGGTGCGGGAGAGAGACCAGCACAGACCAGCAAAACCAAGCCCGGACTTCAGAAAATCCCCAAAGGTTGTTGTTGTTGACCTGACGGACTCCGGGGAGGGTGGGCGAGAAAAGAGGGCCGAAGGGGGTGGTAGCTTCGGACGAAAAGACACGGACACGGACTGGACCGAGACTGGACGATACTGGATTTAAGGCCAGGCGGTTGGGAGTTGGGGTTAGACTGATGTTGATCGGACCAGGAAGCGCCGCGTTCTGCGAAACAAGCGCTGGGCGTGCTGACGGTGCAGGTGTCAGGGAGACAGACGGGGAGGCACCGGAGGTTATAGGGAGACAGGACAAACTGGCGAGCAGCTGAAGCCAGGTTTTTTCTGTGCTGGTGCAATGCCAGGCCTGGCGGATGCGGATGGGCGGAACTCGATTGCAGATTTCTCGTAGAGTGGAGAGGGGCGTGATTTTCCAATGACGCGGAAGAGGGCCGCTGCAGCTTCCCAGCAAGTGTGGAAGTGGAAATGGACGAGTGGACGACGCCGGCAGACCAGACGAGAGGGAAATCTTTATGTAGGATGGAGAGCCCCCCTACTAAAGAGCGGAAGTTAAAGAAGTTTATAAAAAAAGAAAAAAAAAGGAAAAGGGAAATGCCGAAATTCCACAACTGTGCACCGCGGAACAATGCACGAGCTCGACTCGGGCAACTCGTCCAAACAAACAAAAAAGGCAGCAACTCCAGGCAACGGGCTGTAACCAGATCGAGTGTTGCCAGATGCAACAACGATTGTTGTGTATATATGCGTGGTGTATGCGTGTGTGCGCGCGCGTGTGAGTGCGCTTGATGTCTGCAATGATCGTTCACGTCGTCCCGTCTAAGTAGATAGCTCTATACGTTGTTATCGTCGAACAGTCGTAACAACGTCGGTCGAAGTTGTTGTTGTTGTTGTTGTGCTTGTAGTTGTAGTACAGTAGCGATGTTGACAACGGTGACGATGATGCGGACGGTAACGTTGGTTGGTCGGATCCAAGAGCTCCAACAGGACGGGAGAGGGGGGACAAGGAGAATAAACGTATGTACGTAGTGTGGTGAATGGTGAGTTGGAGATAGACCCGACGGGGAGTTCCAGGTTTCTTGGATCGGGTACGGTACGACGCCGAAATGTAAAGAGAAGCGGGAGGGTCCGTGGATATGAATGGGCCGACAAGAAAGACGGACGAGGAGAAGCAATCCAAGCACACTAGAGGTAGTAGCGTAGTGAGTGAAAAGAACAGAGGAGTTTAAATCGCTCGATGCTAACTAACGAAATTTCCTTGATGTCCTTCCTGCAGGCGCACCTGCTTTTGTTTTTGGAATTCGGAGGCAACTTGTCTTGATGCCGGGCTATGGAGCTCGTACCTGTTCGACGGTGGGACAGTGACGAGGGACCCGGCGAGGACCCTGACGAGGGGGAAAGTTCAAATCCCGTCTAAGTTTATTCTACCACACTAGTGAGGATAAGGTAAGGTCTCAACTCGACTACCTTCCTGCTCGTTTCTGTCAATCTTAACAGCGCTCAACTGCACTGTAAGTTCACGCCTGGATGAATGCTTTTGATGCGAATGCACGCCCTGCAGCACTGCAGCCCGAAAATCGACTTAAAAAAGCAAAACAAAAAAAAACCAAAAAAAACAACAACAACGAAACACCAAAGAAAGGCAGACGGGATATGTGGCAGCGCGGCGGCCCCTACCGTGCGTGTCTTGCGTGAGTGCGTGCACCTGGAAGGTCCAGCCAGATAGGCCCCCCCATGAATAAGGGACAACAACCTGCGGTCTGATGATCCCCAATACTTCTTTTTCTGTACAAGCACCTGGATCCACCAAAGTGGACCCATCTGTCTTGCGCTAGAAGGATGGACTGCCGCCTTGGCGCCTCCTGGGGCGGCTGCCCTCCCGCCATCCGCCGGGCATCACCCAGCATGCGTGTTATCCAATCGCTTTCTTCATTTAGGTTGCGCTCCCGCTAATCTTGTCAATCACTCGCGGAACACTTGCGATGCCCATCACCACGCGTGCCTCATCAAAGACACCATGCTGTCCATCACGGCCCATCTGTATCGTCCCGAATTATGAGCATGCTACAGAGAACTCGCATTGTTCTTCGGGACTGACGGGCCTTGTCCTGGGTCAAGTGGCATACAACAGGCACTACCCGGCAATCCGTGTAGGTGGAGGCATCATCCACTTCTTATGAAGACTGTTATTGCACTATCATTTTCATCAACGTTTCTATGCAAAATCAGTTTCCTTCCTATCTACCTGAGCCCCTTGTCCCTTTCTTGCCTTCCCCCTCTTGCCCCCTGTCGTACAAGGCCATCGAAGCTCCCTGGCAGGTCGGACTCAATGGGATGCGCTCCCAAAGTTGCCAGAGGCAAGAATCCCACATGACGGCCGGGCTCTCTCCTCTTCTGTCTCGCTCAGTCTGCAACTGCGTACGGCTAGCGGCTACAGGAGATGCGAACCTACTGGCATCGTGTGCGCGGATATCACCATGATGAGACGGAGTCCATCTGGGGCCTAAAGCCCTGGGCGATCGAGCTCTTGTGGAGGCACCTTGAGATTATTCTCGTTTATTTTGGGCTTCTCCTGTCGCTGCTTTGTTGCTCTTTGTTAGGCCCTTGGCCTGAAGAGGCAACAAGGCTCCAGAAAGGTGAAAGGGGGGAAATCGCCATGTAACGCTAAGCACGACAGCCAAGATTCGCGACGACGAGGTCTTACCGGGGTGATGAGGAGCCAGAGCCCAGCGACTTCTCAAAGAAGCTTCCATTCGATCCATGGCTATGGAGCCGTACACATGGCCCTGCTATTTGCGAGTCTTGGTGCTACTGCGTACATAATATAGGGTGTACCACGCTGGAGATGCCACGATCCCGCCTTTTGGTTTCTTCTCCACACCCGAATCGGCTACCGTCCCCTAAATTCTAGCGAGCAACCGGTGCAACGCCGTTTTGTTTATCACAGGGTCGACATTGGGGGACAGTTAGGAGCGTGTATCACCGGTGTCAAGGACCTTGCCCCCGTCGGCCGCCTCACGCTCACCGCGCATTCATTGACTCGCCGTGACGTGCCTTCTGCGAGAAATCTCCCACAGATCTGTGTTTCTGACCTAACCGGTCACCCGGTCTTTCTTGTCCGTGCTCCCGGGACCGGGGATCCATTGCCGAGTGGGGTCATGCTGGCCGGGCCCCTGACAATCGAGTCCTGACGCCCTCGCAAGAGATTGCAAGCCAAGCGGTGCTCATGCTGAAATGGTGAAAAAGGGGCTATAATCAAGACTCATGAAGAGGAGAAAACTATTGCTGGACGAGATAGATTAATATGCCATCGTGGGGTCACGCTCGGCAACGCTTGGCCATGGCTTCATGGCTGCCGAACCGGGAGAAAATGTGGGCTATTTTTGAGACAGAGATGGTTCATAGGTTGCAGCAACCTGGAATATGGAACGTCACTGTATTTTACGGACACAGTCATTGTTGTGACTGTTGCCACAAGGTCAGGCTTCGATATCGCGGTGCGGCCGAAAGATGGAATCAAGAATGATAGCAACGAAAATACTTTTCTTAAGTCCACGCCATATGCTGGCTGACCGCTCGTTTGCAGAAAAATTCGTTTGCAATGATCCCCAGTTCAGAAATGAGCTTAAGAATTAAATGCTACATGTAACCGTAAAACGGGACGCTATTAGTACTCAAGTTGTTGAAGCGGTCAACAACACTCGAGACTGACTTTGAAGCAAAAAAAAAAAAAAAAAGACATGGTAGAAAAGCATCGGTCGGAACGGAAATATTCTGGCGTCGCATGCAGGTCGGCTCTTTAGCCCTGTGCCTGACGTTTTTAATCTGGGCTTGTGGGGAAAGGGGACAGACACCCTTGACGATTTTGGCCCCCTTTTCATACCCCATACCGGGTTGCTCTGTAATGCTGTTCCTGCCTCCGGCGGCCGTCCGCCGGCTCCCGCCAGATGACCGAATCCGCTAGGCCTGTCCCAACGGTGTCGTCCCAGAGCGTTTGGTTTACCACTCTTGACTATTCCTCCCTTTGCGCCTCAATTCTTCATCATTGACGGCCTAGAACCGCTGGTTCGAGAAACAGAGTTGGCTCGATGATTGACGACAGGTGTTGTGAGCGGTGCCACTGCACCAGCTCTATTGCCTCACTTAATACGTCGAGACGTTTCCCAGCCCAGTTTCCAGACAACTTAGTAACCCAATAGACCTTTTCACCCCGCCGCCTCTCTCCGCCGTGTTTGATGACGGAAGGTACGGAAAACCTTGGATGCAGATGCCCCTGACTATTGGTCACGGAAAGATGCAAAACCCCGGGTTCCCAAGGATAAAAATATATGGTCTCTTATCGACAGCCGCATTGAGAAACCACCGTGATTGAGGCAGGTGGCTTGGGTCCAATCATATTTAGTCAGTCTCTCCGTCAGGCGAGAACTTCGACGACGGCCAAAATACCGGTCGATACCGGATCCTCTTGGAGGTTGATGAGGCTATAAGTTCTGATGCTTCCATTAGTTGGTGATCCCTAACTGATCTCGGCTCTTCTGGCAAACAGCCGGCAAGACAGGGCGATGCTTAGTTTGTTGCAGCGAAGAGAGAGGCATGCGCAACGCACGTCGCAACCCACTCCAGTTATTGTTCACAGACGGGCTCTCATTGGCGCTTGCTCGTTTCTGCGCCAAGACCAGTTTATTGACGACGACTGAACGGTCAACCTTTTGTTCCAGACACGCTGCTTTTTGAGAGATGAGGAGGACCAGTGAATCGGAAATGCGAATGGGCATCGCTTCTTTGACATTTCAGAAACGACTCGAACGGGCCGTGCAGCCCGCGAAACATACGTAATGTACAACCAATTATGTCTTATGAATGAGTCCGCGCCGTCTCGCGACTCTGCGGTCGGCCGTTGGCATATTTTTTTTTTTTTTTTTATTAGTTGGTTGATCCTGTACCTCACTCACAAGTTCCAACCGCATGCCAACTGCTTGCCTGTCGCAGCGCAACGGCCGGTGGTCTCCGAGCGAGAGCTTCCATTAGCAAGAGTGTCGTCCAAACTTGATGCGCAATAACAGACTGCGTTGCACCACGTTGGACAGACATGTTGCATAGGTAGATTTGGAAAGTCTCACAAAAGCCTGGCCACCAGGTAGCGAAGGCCTAGGTATAACGTTTTGAGACATTGGGACGAGGAAGGCTGACTGTCCATCCCGTCTATACCCCGCATTACGGTGTGACGCCACTCAGTGCTTCACCTTACCGGCCGATCCCGTTGCAAGCAACCCCGCACGTGTCCCGCTCCGTACCGCAGTCCGTCAATCCGTCCGAAAAGGATGGGGCTTCCTGACCGGGGGCGGTAGAAACTGTGGAGCCTTCTACGTCAAAAGTCCACTGCGGTATCGCGAGCTTCACGACTGATGTAATTACTGTAATTTTCAGATATGCAGAACTATTGATACTATAGGCCTCTGTGCATAAGTGGTGACTTAGCGGAGGCCTTTCACTAGCCTACTCTATCCCAAGGTGAACCCTAACCCTAGCTCACCCTATTCATTTGTAACAGACCTTTACTCCGACCTCTTAGTTAGCTCACAGAACATAATATAGTCTAGTACGTGTTTTAGTAATTTACTTCTATACCCGCTTGCAATGGAAATGAACAAGAATTGTCTTTGTTTGTATAAACATGGTTGTGACGAACCAGTCTGCCGCTCCCGGTAGGAATCGCCGAAGGGATGCCCGGCCACGACGAGCGGGACCCCTCCGCCGACCCGCCCCACCTCCCCCAGATTGACCGCAGCATGCATCCCGCCTGCCGTCATCGAACCAGCTCGAACTTATTCAATCACCTAATCAGCGTACATTTGCACCACCCGTCCTTGACCACTTATCTCTCACTACACTTGGACCTTGCTGAACATCCATTTGAAACCAAAGAATAAATCAAGCAACAACAATCACAGCAGGAAAAACTGAAAACAAGATGGCAGTTTTCTCGCTCCCGTCCGGACGGACCATCTCGTACGAGCTCACTTACTCCAATGAACCCACCCGACCCACCGTCCTCCTCTCCAACTCGCTCGCCTCCCAATACCACTTTTGGGACCACATCGTAGAACGCCTCCACGACGCCGGATATCGCGTTCTGCGCTATGATCACCCCGGTCACGGCGCCTCTGGCGTGCCCGACAATCTCTCATCCACCACTTTTGCCTCTCTTGCCGAAGACGTCTACGCCCTTCTAACCAGCCCAGACGTCGCCACTGCCTTCCACGGCCACCACTCCCCAGATGCCGCTTTTACCCCTTCACTACACGCCTGGATCGGCGTCTCCATGGGTGCTGCCTTAGGCGTCGTCTTCAGCAGTCGCTACCCTGGCGTCGTCCAGAGACTCGTCATATGCGATACCATCTCTGCTTCACCCAAGAACGCCGGCGTGTCTGATGCGTTGGGACCCCGTGTGGCTGCCGCCAGAGAGCACGGATCCATGGAGAAGGCCGTGGCCGAGACTATGGACCGCTGGTTTGGACTAGACTGGATCAAGGCCAACCCAGCCGAGGCGGAGCGTGTGCACACATTGATGAAGCAGACCAGCCTTGATGGCTTCGAGACTTGTATTGCCGCTCTTAGGTCGGATTCGTTCGATCTACGACCTTTGATATCTGGGCTTGGAAACTGTGTCCAGCGTGTGCTATTTGTGGTTGGCGAGAAGGATGCCGATCTACCCGAGAAGATGAAGGAGCTGCGGGATGCTTGCCCGGAAAACCTGAAAGCTGAACTTAAGGTCATCCCAAATGCTGGGCATGTGTCCTTTATTGACGGGAAGGAGGACTTTCTGAAGGCTGTGATGCCATTCTTGGGCGAGAACTAGAGGGTCACTGCCGGACAGTGGGAACATCTGGTGCTAATGGCGGCTGCAGTGGCTCGAGTTTGGTGATAGAACGGTGATAGCGCTGGACTTCCCAAAATCCGAACCACCATGTTACTCCGGCATCACACTTTTGAGCAAAGTGGAAAGGCTGACGACGAGCATATGATACAGACTTAGAGATAGCACAGAAACGACAAAGCTACTTGAATTACTCTACAGAACCCATCCCAGTACGTGTCAAACCAGGCGTGCCAAGTTGCTTCGTTTTATGGGAGCGCTCTATACTGCCCCGGTGGCGCCGTTCATCTTTGCTGACTGATCTGCTCAGAGGCGCATTGTCAGAAGCCCTCCTTTCATTCCAGTTCATTGGCTGAAGCCGAGTCTTTGTCTCTTCTTTTTCCTTTTTTTTTTCTTTTTCGTTTCTGCTTGACGGTCCGCGTGGAAGTTCCCCATGTTCCGCGTGGCGCACCTTTCAAAAAAAAAAAAAAAAAAAAATATCGAGACAAAGAACACGCTCGAGCAGCGAGGTCTATTTCTGTTGGACATGCGCCATCCCAGAGCTTCTTTGACCTCTACCCATTATGCAACCTGGAAGCTCACAAGAAGAACATCATATAATCAATATTCCGGACGTTCTGACTCTGGAATCCTTACGTTGTCAGCTCTACGCTACCTGTTAGAACTCTGAGCGCCCTCCTCCAACCTTTTTCACTGCATCCCCGGTTTTCATCGCATCTGGCTATAGTCTGATTTTTAGTCCTGCCGTTACCAACAGGCTGGATACTGTAGTTATTTTTGCTCCTCCGATTTGTCAATCGACTGTTTATTGTTTCTGTTGGTCAATACAATTCAACAGCCCATTCGGCACAACACTTGGAGAAAACGCTTCTTTCCGCGCTTTCAACCAACGAGCTCGCCAATCCTCCTTCTATTCCTTATAGACCTTCAAACCCACAAACTCAACGAGCGCTCAACTCAACAAGGACAGACAAGAGTCCAAACAAAATGCCCTCTAACCCTAATGCAAAGGCAAAGCCACCCAGGCTCGTCCTCTTCGACATCATCCCAGAGCTAACCATTGTCACCGGCTCTATCTCAGAGATGATCAACTCCCCCACAAAAGTCAAGCCTCAAAACAGTCCCAACTCGCCCATCACCGATACTTTTGATGGCAGTGGCACCACCACCACCACCACCACCACCACCAACAACAACGACACAACCAAATTTTCATCAACTCAGCCGTCACCCACTAGTCCAACCACCAGCAGAAGTACGCCATCAAGCAGCAATCCCCAAAAGTCTCCAACACCACCAACAAAGCCGCCCATGCTCTCGCCTCCCGCTCCCTACCCCTGGCTGTGGTCCTGTCACTCCTGCCGGTCTGTATACCGGCTAGCCTGCACGAGGAGATGTCTGGAGTGTGGACATGTCTTTTGCTGTTTAATGCCTGCCATTAATCAAAAGGAATCTGAAGAGAGAGACAAGAATGGCAAGAAAAGAAAGCGAAGTGGAAGTGGCAGAAAAGGAAGAGGGCCGTGTACCGCCGAGTTTGATTACCTGGGTTGGTCGGCGTGGGGAAGCTATCGACGGAGTGTGACGGGTGCTGCTGCCAGGCGTGCTTTGACAGTCGGTGGTGGTGATGATGATGATAGTGGAAAGAAGAAGTTGGGATCGAGTGGGAAGAGGAGACTTACCAGCGTTTCTCTCTCTCCTCGTCCCTCCCTTTCTTCCAGCTCTAACAACAAAGATACCACCGCCACCTCTGACTCCGACTCATCCCAGTCTGCCAATGACAAAGTCGCCGCCGCTCGCCTCCAAGACTTTTCAACATGGCATCTCATCCCCGTCCCCCCCTTAGACTCATCAAGTCCGTCTTCATCTTCACCCCCAGGCCCAGGCTCAAAATCGCCTAGAGCTACAACCCTAGCCTGGCATCACGTCTCTGAGCGCGAGACCGGCTCCATCGCCCGGGCCAAAGAAAAGATGTACGTCGAACGCACCCACAACTGCTGGTCTCACTGCGACTATCCGTCCGAGTGTCGACAGACTGTCATCGCTGCGTGCGAAGAAGGTCGTGCCAAGATTGACAGAAAGGCCAAAAAATTGGTGTGGGTGAATGATAGGGAGAAGGACGCCATCGAGGCTCGGAGGCGTAAGGAAAGGGAGAGGGAGAGGGAGACTATGAAGAAGGCGTTGGGAGCGAGGAGGAGTAGGAGTGGACAAGAAGAAAGGGAGAGGAGGATGGGTGGACAGAGAAGTAGTGGGAGGAAGGGAAGGGGACACGGGGGAAATGGGAGTGGGAGTGTCGGGGAGAAAAAAAGTGATGACTCTTCTTCGTCAGCGTCGACCTCCTCTGCTGGTGGCAGCAGTAGCTCTTCTTCAGACGCCTCGGGTTCGGAAGATGAACAGTTGCTTGTCAAGGAGGCGACTATCAAGTTCGATTGGAAGGAGACCATGATAGCAGCACAAGGGATGCAGAAGGACCCGGAGGATGACAACACCGGCAACCTCACGATTGCCACGCTCGAGCCCTATTCTAGGCTGGACGGCTGCAGTTCTCGCCAGGACTGTTACATTACCATGGTTGCAGATGAGATGACGATTGATCCTGCGAAGCTGTTGAAGGACGATCTGGAGACCATTCCAGTTTCGCCGGTGTCGCCCTTGGCTGGAGGCCGTCTCGCTCTGGGAATCGCTAATCCGGACATTTACGAGTCGTTTGCCTCATTCATTTGATTCGGGCCTATGGAGAATGATGTGGCCATGCAAACGTGATCAATCGTCCCGGAAGTAAAAACCTTGAAAGGTAGAGAGAGGATCAAAGCTCTGACTGACACATATCGTCTTTTGATATGTACGAAGATTCCATGGTCATGGATCAGTAGGACATAGAATCTTGCTTAAGAGAGTTCACCAAGTTAGCTTCCAGAATGACAACAATACTTGGATCTACCTTACCTGCGTCTTCTCATGTAGTAATCGGCAGCGGGCATCAGTGTCGTCCGAAACAGCAGATGGTGAGACTGAACACATTGTAGTCACCATGAATAGAGTTGCGCATCCCAGACTGTAGAGAGAACATAATAAGAATTGGTATCGCAAATTTTCAAGGCTCTTTCTTGTGGCCTTTATTCCGCCACTACCTGCAACCAGTACCAACCAACACGTGCATTTAACGTGTCCTGATGTTTTCCTCGCTAAGCCCTTATGGCCGAGTCGTACTATAAAAACGATAAAGAAGATTCATGTTGTTACAGATATCGTAAAAGAGCTGCTGTCGCACGCCGCGCCGTGACGAGGGGAGATTGCTCGCCGTTCCCAGTGTGTGGTGCGCTCCAAGACGACGTTATGCGGTGAATGGTCTCCCTCCTCATCGCTTCCCAAGCGGCTTTCACGGCTGAATGATACAGAACGCTTCGCTTTTCGTGTGTGTTTCGAACGCACCACCCTGCTGGAAGTGTCGCAAGGGAAGTTCGCCGTCGTCTATGCGCTGCGCTTGTTGCCGTCGCAGACACCGGGAGTGCTCGGCTTTTTCAAGCCATGGTTCGGTGGGCCCCAAGCCCGTGTGCGTATCCCAACAACAAATAATAGGAAGAAAATACCCAACAATACAGCGGCGTTAGGGTTGGATTAGCAAAGACAAACCCCCCTCCCCCCCCCCGGCATCACCCCGTGACATCCCTTGAATAAGCCGATTGCTGTCCTGCCCGTCAGCCCGGAGCGGGGCTAAAGAGATGCAAGACAGTGTGCGAAACGTGTGCGACGTCGAATTTTTCGGTGCAGTTGTGGACTTAAGCCTCCTGAGCCTTGGCTTTCTTCTTCTGCTCTACCTTGAGCAGAAGGGCGCGGTTAATGTGGGGGAGGACACCACCGAAGGCGATAGTGGCGCGGATGAGGGTATCAAGCTCCTCATCTCCACGGATGGCAAGCTGAAGATGGCGGGGAGTGATACGCTTGACCTTCAGGTCCTTGGCAGCGTTCTATACAACGGAAATCATTGAGTTAGCCATAAAGCAGGTAAAACTTGGACATGGGAGCCTCCTCGTCGCCAAGCAATATGGCCGTGCGGATGGGGTATGGATGACTTACACCCGCAAGTTCGAGGACTTCAGCAGTCAAATATTCCAGCACGGCAGTAACATAGACGGCAGCCTTGGCGCCAACGCGCATCTTGTTTTGGGTGTTCTGCTTCAGGAAACGCTTGACACGACCGCAAGGGAACTAATTAGATTCAAGTCAGCATGGCGCGTCAGACACATGGCAAACTCCAGAGGACGGAAATGCACGCCGCAGCTCCGCCTCGTTGTCAGAGCGAGAAATCCAAAGTTAGGAACCGGAACAAGGTCCGAGTGCGGGGCCAGGGTGAGAGAAGGATGCACAGAACAACGCGTCCATATCAAGTTGAAATAGTATCGCATACGGGGCGCAATGGTGTTTTTTTTTTCTTTTCTTTTAAGCAGCGGCGGGGTTGCGTGCGACCGACATGTGAGGCAGCGAGTTCGCGTTCTTCGTAGGTTGGCACTATGGGGTTGTCGGGAAATGTAGGGGGCTCGGTGGACGCGTTGTGGTGTATCGGCGTGATTCCATCGATATCTGACGACAGGGATGGCGGATGCGAGCAAAAAAAAGTTGGTTGATGAGGAGACGTCGATGATGCAGATCGGAGCAAGAATTGAAAGCGGACAGAGCCATAAGCTAGTCAACGATAAAAACGTACCTGAAGACCAGCGCGAGCAGAATGGCTCTGCTGCTTCTTGGAACCTTCGACGCCCGAGGTCTTTCCACCCGAGCTCTTGCCGCCAGACGACTTGCCCTTTCCGCCAGCCATTGTGTTTGTTTGTTGGTTTGAAGGGATTGAACGGGGTGGGTTGGTTGTGCGCGGGATGGGCGGATGGACGTAGTGTCGAGAATAAATCGGTGGTCGTGACGATGCTGGATGTTGATATTGACGGGGCAACGGCGCGGGATTTGCGTGGAACTGGTGGAAGTGGATGAAGCGGGGTTGGCGGATGGAAAAGTGGTGTTTTGGCCGGAAGGATGATCGCGACGAGGTTTGGTGTTGAAGTTGGCGCCAGGAGACGCTCGAAAATTCAGAAGGGCCGAAGATGCATGCCACTGATGGGCCCTTTGATGTTGTGTCCTTCCAGGTGATTGCCCGCCGTGTTTGAGCGCAACCGCGCCTGAGACATGCGTCCGTACAGGAGGGAAGGTGCCGACCTCCAAGCCAAGCGAAGGAAGGGAAGCTCGAGCTCAGTCAGCTAACAGCCAGCTCCCGTGGGTGCTTTGCTTGCCGTGTGTGCTGATTTGTCGCTGTTGCTGATTTTTTTTTTTTCTCCTCCGCAGAGGGAGGGTAGGTAGGTTCAGTTAGTAGGTAGGTAGGTACCTTGGGGTAACCTTGGGTACGGCGAGCCAAGCAGACCACTTGACCAATTCGAAGGGAGCTCCGAGGCTTGGCAATATCATATCATGAAGCTCCAGGCAAAGGCCCAGCCAGCAAGGCCTCGAGCCAGCCATGACGACCCAGTGAGGTCTATCTCGAGACAGATAGCCAAACCTCAACTCAGCCTCGCAAGGGCCGTGGCTGACACGGTCTTGCAAAGAACCTTGCCGACATGTCTGCAATGAACGGCCCAGGAAAAGGCCTCCCAGGACAACTTAAGTCCACGTGATGCAAGGGGAGTCGCATACCTGTTGCCCGACGTTGAGAGCACCTTCCTGGTTTGAAGCCATGCAGAGATCCGCGACGGGCACTGTCCAGGCCGGCCACCCAGCTGGTTAAGGCGGGCCAAAAGCCGTCAAAGTCTTTGGCAATGAAGGCCTGAGCATCTTCACAGCAGATTTGCACGCTTTTCCGAGGCTGGCGTGGTATTGCAGAGTGTCTTGAAATGTTGCTCAGATAGTGTGATTCGGAGCGTTGGGTGAGCCTTTGCCAATCTGCCGCTGGTTGTTGTGGTCCGTGACCTTACTCCAAAAACTCGTCGCAGCCGTGCCAAGCTTTCTCATCACGACATTACAACTGGCGCAGTGTCTGCCAGCTGTTTGCGCTTGAGCAGAGCCGTCTGTTTTCAGTGGTGACTTGAGGTTCAATTCACAACGAACTATGTACCTAAGCTTCCAACATGAACGCTTCAACGTAAATTGTGCAAAGATGCACACAGTAATTGTGTGCCTTCTTCACCACTTTTCAATTCCCTCTCGCAATCCTCGCCAACCTCTCAGCCTCACATCTCCGTCTTTCCACTCTCTGCAATACCTCCAGCCTATGACGGTCGTTGCTGATCGGGTCCTGATGCCCCGAAACCCGATCCGATACTTGGGTGGTAGTGTCGTGGATGTATCTGTTCATCATGGAGCCGTACTCTCTTCTTCTGGTGACACAAGATGCATTAGATAACTACGTTTGCCATTCCATCTCTAAGATGGAAGCGTTTGGATTATGTTTGTAGCTAAACAGCCAACTACCAAAGCGATGCAGAAGTGCGACGGGATTCTAGGATTGGGAAAAAGAAACAAAGAAACCATGACAAGACCCACTTCGGAGCTTGGGCCGGTGCGGGTAGATCCCCGGCTCCCGATGTGGGGCCGACCGCCGCGCCTTTTGAGCCATTGCCGCTACCGGTGTTGCCAGCACCGCCGCTGTAATATGTGCTCATGATGAAATGTACTATCCGACTGTCATATGTAGTGTACGCTATTCCAGCGGGAAACTCAGTAGGTAAAGATGATAGATAGAGGTAGCATGGTAAGGTGGTGTGCATAGGTCTACTTCGAGGAAAGAAAAAATGACTTTGTTCTCAGGCAGCGAGGAAGAGCACTTTTTATCTTCTTTACATGTAGGCGTTCATCCTCCAAGGTGATCATCAAATCGTACTCAAAATTCCTGGAACTTATGGCAACGTGCCTGCTCTCACCAACCTCGGTGACTGTTGCTTGTCATGAGGCAGAACACTCGCCTCGATCTGGCTATGAGCCCATGTTAATGCCCGCGCTGGGCGGGTTGAGAGCAACAACAACCCAACAGAATAAGAACAAACCGAAGGGATTGAGGCGATGATGATTCAAGACAGAGTGAGTGAACTAAATAGAACTGATTCGTCAGATAGTCACCTGGAAGCCATCGGCACTCGGCACTCCGTGGTATAATGGGCGTGAAGGGTGAAGCTTCCGCGCGATGCCTAGCAGACAGCCCTAGGCTCCATTCCGCCCCTGTAGCCGAAAACCGCTGAGGGTGGAATGAAGCATGTGACATAATAGATAGGACAGAAGAGAAAATGCGCAGTGCAATCGATGACTGGTGGATGTCACCCCTGCTCAGAGCGAAGTGAAAGTCAGTGGTGGTCGTCCTGACTGTAGAAATTTGGAGACCAAAGGGGTGAAGCCGTAGGAAGCGCTTAGCCAGGCCGTTGGCGGAACACAACTTGGACCGATGCACAACGAACGTTCAAGGAAGAAGGCAGGGCATCACCTGAAGAGTCTAAAATTGATCCGAGTCCTAGCATACACGTCGGTCAGCAAGGACTTGATGGGAATGCGTTCGGGAGATTCGAACCACTTTAAGAGAAAAAAACAATCTGCAGCACAAGCGACAAAGTCATTTAGGACTTCGGCGTTTGGGCAGTCTGGGGCATACCGATAGGCGTACAACGGACAGCTTGGGCTCATTGAGAACTGCTGATCAAATGTACACTACATTTACAATTGGTTGCTGCTAACAGCCTGACAGAATCAAGTCAGCTCTTCAAAAGCAACGTAGGACAGGCAGTTTCACTGGTGGCCTAAGGAGACTCGGTCGAGTGTAGAGAGCAACCCGGAGTCTGCCCGGAGCCTCGTCTGGAAAGCAAACAATTTGGGCAAGCCGTGTCACTTCTCATATTTTTTTTAATTTTTTTTTTTTAAAAAAAATAATAAAAAGGAAAAAGGGAAAATTCATGGGGCCATCCACTGTGTGGCTATAAGAATCTGAAATGGTAGTTTAAACACCAAAGTTTGAACCAATCAAGCCGTTGCAATATTCAACAGCCTCAAAATGTTCGGTGAACCTCCGGCTTTTGCGCCGCACTGCCACATTAAAGGTTCCTGAGCTGCAAGGCCTCCAATTTGTTGTGAAATCTCAACCACTAATGTTCTCTCGAACGCACTTGCCTGTATTCCTTGTCAAATCGACTATTATGCATTTGGCTATGCCTTTGGATAGGTCCGGGTCGATGTGCCTCTCAAAGGGTCGTCTGTGTACCGATTAGAAGAGTATTGTTCAACTGGTCACTTTTCAAGGTAATCAAGTCGCTTCCTCTCTGGTGTCGACCAAGTTAGAGGAGGCGCCTTATGGTTCGCGCACAAACGCCTGAGTATGATGTAGATAACCAGCATAAAGCCTAGCGAGTGCAGCTTCTTAAAGCAGACAGAACCTAGACCCTACTTTTCCTCCCCAGTCCGAGAACAATAGGCCGCGTAGCCTGGCGTTCACCTGGTCATAACTGGGCCCCATATCGTCGGCAGATTTCAGAACTCAGCCATCAGCCAGCATGACTTCCCTCTTGAGAGGGCCCTCGGCAACAGGGCAAGGGGGACGCCTCAATCAACCATCATTTAAGGCAGGCACCTCTCCGGAACTTGCAGTCACAATCAAGCCGGCCCAAGACTCCTATCTTCAAGACCGATCCAACAAGCGAGTGGAATTTGACAACCTCGAAAGCAATACCAGCGAGGGGACCGAGTGGGAGGAGAGATACTTTCAACCACGGCGCTCAGATACGATTTTCTCGAGCTTCTCTAACGCCTCAACAGTAACGAACACCACCGAGCCAGACCCCTTAAGTCCAGCCACTGCCTCCTTCGAAGTAACGAACCTTTCCCAGTATCCTTCGTCGCCTTGGTTGATGCAATTCCGACGTGGCTCACCCGCTCCAATGACATTCCATGCTGAGACACATTTCAAATCGGAAGCAGGACTGGATATTCATTCTGTGGATATGACGACAGCAAACTTTACTGCTGAAGGCTCATCGTCGCCGAGGCATATCATCTCGCCGAACTTGAAGCCGAGACGAACATTCCGGGAACAGGACACGCTCAGAAAGAACTTGCAAGACCCAGCCCGACATCTGCCCAAGTGTAGGAGGAAAGACAGTATGAGCAAACATGCGGTGTTCCAGGTTGGCCCGCCTTCTGACGCCACGCATCCTGAGAAGCCGTTGGTCAGCCAGATCACTGCAGGACTACGGGCGAAGTCCGCAGGTGATACAAATATCGTCATGCCGGTCTGCCCAAAGGAGGAGTCTGAATCACTGGTACCAGCTGCAAAGACATCCCGCAATCTCGATTTGCCAGACCTCCAAGGCATGCAAATTGACGAAACGTCTGGAGACGTGAGAGCAGATACGACACAAGAATCAGTTCCGCAAGACGTCGACACCCCCACGTCCGGGAACGGCTCATCCCCCGAAGGACTTTCGCCGTTGATTATGACTCCTGGTCTCGATGACCCAGAAGACATTGAGACTTCCCCGAGCCACAACTTGGACGCTGGTCTGATCCAAGACGTCTGTGAACAAATTCTCAGGCAAGCGTTCGATACAGAGTACGACGACATTGCGCATACCGATGCAGCTGGTGAGGCGTACAACACCGTTAGTTACTGCCTGGATGAGCTGTCAAAAATTCTACCGGATGAGAGTCTGTTCAGCTCCGCCATATGCATCCAGGAGCTACCTCGCGGAGCGGGCCACATTGCGCCGGCCCAGCAAGAAGGAGGTGGCTCAAGCTCTGGAACGGGCCGCCATGGGGGAGCGAACAATGGGTCGCAGAAGAGACCGAACGATGACGGTAACGGGTACCCCAGCAGAGGGCCTGATGACGGTTCTGGTCCCGGAGATCGAGGTCTCGACGGGGGCGGTAACGATGGCGGGATAAAGAGAGCGCGTATAACGACCGAATTGGGAGATCAGGGGTTAAGCTGTCCGTTCCGCAAAAGAAATCCCGAGAGATTTAACATCCGTGACCATCAACAATGTGCTGTTCGTCCATTCGACAACATATATGAACTGAAGTAAGTCTCCTACCTGTCTTGATAGAGTTTTGATGCTAATTTGTCGCTTGGGTAGACGCCATATCAAGAATCTCCATAAACAGAAAACTGGCTCTGCCTACCATTGCCCTAGATGCAAAGAGGACATGCGGTCGCGTGAAGCAGTGCAAGCGCATCTTGCGGTTCCGAGAGACAGCATATGCAGCCCGCAAGAGGGAATTGCGAGCCGAAATCCGGAGGATGGCATCACGGATCGACATGAATTTTTGCTGAATAACCGGAAGGCAGATGGCAAGATTGATAACTGGCAAGATCTCTGGCACAACTTGTTCGGTTTAGACGAAGAGGTTCCGGATCCTGGTGAGTGTTTTCCCATAGTGGCCCTTCTGTGTTTGGGTTTGTGTTTTTCGTGCGGACTGGTTGGCTGACAGTGGGAATGAAGATTTTGAGCCTCCAGTCGAGCGCGAAGAGTTTTACCGAGATTTGCAGAACGCTCGCCCACAACTCAAGGAGGCCCTAACCTCGAACGAGGAGTTGAGACGATTCGGCAACCAACGGTCCGAGGGACACCACGTGGAGCAACTGGTTGACATCTTCTACAGCCATATTGGCCAAGTCTTTGACAACTCCCGTCGCCAGCCGATGAACATATCCCGCCGCCAGAGAGTTGGTAAACGCATCCCGAGGGTTGAACCCTCGAATTCGGCAAGCCCAATAAACCCAGTGACCCAGAAACCATCCCGAAGACTGGGTCAACTCGCAGTTCCGAGGCAGATTGTCAGGAAACGGCTCATCAACGGCGACAGTAACGGAGGCAGCCTAGCTTCTTCTCTTGAGACGATTAACAGCGCCGAGTCGTGGGCGAATGTCGGCCAGGCAGAGATGGTGACGAGGGCAGCTCCAGGCATGAATAGTTCGGGGAGCGTGCAATCGCGCCAGGAACAGGTTGCGCAGACAGGCGTCGGTGTGGGCGCATCACCCTCGAGTTTTCGTCAGGCTCGACAGCATGATCTCTTTGTAACTCCGAGCCCAGTTACTCCCCGAACCCCCATCAACCCTCAGGTCGGCTTTGGTGCTTACGGCAATGAGGTCGCTAACCTGAGCCAGCCAGCTCAAGCTACACGGTTTCACCATGGCCGACAGGCTCTGGTAGATTCGGGGATCGAGATGGTGAATTATTGTCGTCCTACGCAAGGCATGAACGGACTGAGTGATATCCATCGCGCCGAGGCCAGAGGAATCTTCGGACCGTCGCCACAACCGCAGCAACACAGGCCTGCAGAGATGAACTTTGGGGGACCCTTACCTCAGCATCTGGCTTATCAGCAACAGCCAGAACATATGGAGCTGGCCAGCCCCGATGATGCTCACATGATAATGGGAGGGATGTATGCGTCAACCTTTGACTGGGATTTGAATGGTGGTGGGATGGACCTGTTTCCCCAACAGTATCAGGGGGGCCCTTCAAATCTTTGATAATGTCGAAGGTCCATTGGTGGGCACTGTCATCGACAGCGCTAAGTCAAGGTCTCGGATGTCATGTCAGGTGACTGGGATCGGATTTGCGATGCTGCTAGAGAAGCTGAAGGTGTAAACACAAGCAAACATGGTCCGGATTGTTTTTTTCTTTTTCTTTTTTTTTTTTTTGGGGGGGGGGGGGGGGGGGGGGGTCGTTTTTCTTCGGCTGTTTTGTGGTTAGGTGGGAGAGGAGAGAGCGATATGTACGGGTGTCAGATGACATTGCGCTGTCTCCGTGCACGAACCAACCCCTCCTTCCGCTCGACCAACCAGTCCGATAAGAGAGATAGCCCCCGCCCCGCGCTATAAAGATAACCGATAAGATAGATACTACATAGAGAGCTTTTCGAAGTCCAAGAACCTACCAACGTGTTTTTCATCCTCTATTCTAGTCATCTGTTTCTTGAACTAGATGTGATTATGCAGATTTTGCTCGCTCTACCATGATTGCCACTCGCTCACCACCGAAAGGATCATAGCCTGCTGCCCGATACGTAAACACCCCACTACATACACTGGACCGAGACCTGTGGTCATGTAGGCTTTCATCAACCTTCATTCTAGATGTACTTGCTTCTTCTCGTCCATCTCAAAGCAAGCCATGTAGTCCTCGACCTACACACGTCCATATTTTAGAGCCATTGAGGGACTCTGGTGCGAAGACGATGTTCGAGTTTTCGCCAATGGTTACGATGGTGTCAATGGGGAGCTGGACCTTGAGTTCTACTAATACGACCATCACCCCATCGAAGGCTCTCTGCGGGAAACGGCCCCCAAGCGAAGGGTCGCCGATAAAGCTCGCTTGATGCACGATAACTAATAAGCGGCCAGGTGTACCAAGCCATTTTCTTTCGGTTGAGGATCATTCGCTGGGGTGATTCCACGATAAATTGACAACCAACCTCTTCCTTTGATCCTTCATGTACTCGACGTTGGGATTTACTCTCGATACTGAGATCGACTGCAACCTTTGTCAACTGGAGCAAACAGAGCAAAGGGCGGCTTGTACGGGAACATCAGACCCTCTTGGCTAGCATGAGTGTATAAGCGAAAAAGCATCTCATTTTATTGGAGGAAACTGATGATTCAAAACGATCTTTATCATGGTTCAAGAGTTGAGTTTGTGGTGAATGATGTTCTTCCCAGGTTGTGCCAGGTTGTGTCAGACCAGCTGAAGGTCAGTCAGTGGAACAGGGAGCGGGGACGTTGGCAGGTCACTCGTGTGTTTCTGGAATTGGAAACAGTCAGGTTAGGACAGTACATGTTTCTTGCGCGCACGCTCCAACGGCGTCGGCCAAATAGATCCGAGAGACTAAAGTCACCCCACATTGTCCAGGTACTGCACTAACACTTACATGCACTTTGGGGGCCGCCTGGCCATGTCACGCAACATTGTTGCTCCCGCGTCACCCACCCAACTGTTCCAACCAAAACATCGCTGCAAAGACTACGACCTTGAAAGAGAACACAACAATCCAGCCTCCTCATCCACCAAGGTCAGCAAAACCGCAAAGAACTTAACCCTTTTCGTGCTTGAGACGTTGCCACGGCACCGGCAATGATGATGCTACACTTTTCTTTACTCTCTCCCAGCCTTGTCTGATCATATCAGGACTGTACAATGAACGCATGCTGATGGTTCATTCTCCTACGAGTAGTGTGTTTTCATCAGATAGAGACACCCGGCACAGAGTTCAGATGCCTACCAGATGCCGCCGTATCCCGTTTGCAATATAGCCGTATCAGGGCTCTGCAAACATCAATTGAACAACACTGCGCCCGCCACGCGTATGCCGAGGGCGCAATTCCGATTTCAACGACGGGCAGGATGTTTGCTCACACCCTAAATATATCCGATCTTCGGTCTCGGTGATACTTCGACTCCGTCTTCTCAATGGCATACTCGCTGATTCCGCTGTCTTTCTTGCCCGAGGGACTTGAATGGACCTCGTCAAGCTCTGGTTCCGTCCTTCGCTTGATATCGCCAAAGATCTCGCTCATGTCTTCAAGCGATTTTCCTAGCAAGGAACCAGGGGACCATGATCAGCCGTGTCTACCAACATTGAGAACGAAGGTATTCTTCTTACCTCTTGTTTCTGGATACACAGGTGCAAACACAACCGCACACAGCGCGTTGGTCAGGACAAAGAAAATCTGGTGCCGTCAGCCAACTCGCCCAGTCGTTTGCCCTGCCCAATTCTGGTTCGTACGTAATATTTCCAGCCTACTGCCGCCAACGCAATGGGCGAACATTGGGTAATAACCAAGCTGATGGAATAATGCAGGACTTGGATAACGGCATTTGCCTTGCCTCTCAACTCGGTGGTGAAGACCTCGGGCCTAAGGGTACTTCAAATCAGCCATGCACGATCATCATGGGACAGGACTTTATGTACGGAATTATCCAAGTCATCGGGCCCAGAAGAGCCGAGTAGTTGGCCGATACAACAAAGACACAGGCAACGAGCCCGCGTTGAGCTGCCTCATCTGTTGGAAACCCCGGCCGAGCCGGAAAGACGGCAGCAATGATCGTGATGATCAGGTAACAGAGTGACAACAGCGAAGCGCTGAAAACCAGAATCTTCTTTCGACCAATACGGTCCACAAAGAGCAGAGACACCAGGCACGCCACCGGAGCCACCGATCCATACAGCCCGCTGATGAGAAGCTGCTGATCCTGGTTATACTGCAGTGTTGCATGGATGGCTGGTTGGAAATATTGGATAAAGCTGATGCCGCTCAACATCGCAGCCGCCCACACAAAGGATCCGACAAAAAGACGTTTCCTGAAGGCCGGCGCCTTGAGGAGCTCTGCCCAGGAAAGACAGCCTCGAGCTTGCAGCTCGATTTCAATATTGGCTTGTAAACGCCTGAACTCCTCTCTGCACCACTCATCGTTGGAGCCGTTGTGCTGATAACTGCGAAAGGCTTTCTCGGCTTCTGCATGACGGCTTTTCAGGCAAAGCCATCTTGGCGACTCACTGATAAAGAGGACTCCAACCCAAGGGCGAGGGCAGGGATGCTCTGGACAGCGAAACCGAGCCTCCACTGGTTGGGGTTATGCCATTTGCCTTCCCCTACTCCTGTCCAAAGCGCGACAAAGAAGCCCCAAGCACACACTACTTAGAGTACGAAGGTCAGTAACTCTCAGCCAGCTTTTGGGGTGCGGGCGACTCAACTCATCTGGGTAACTGCGTTGATTTTTGCTCTCTCATGGGTCTAAAGAAGACTTGGTCAGAAAGAGTCATTCATGCGTCGTCTTGACAACAATAGAGTACCTCACGCACCTTTGCAATCTCCGCTCCAAACACCGGTGCAACCCCGGTGATTGTGCCAACGGCATATCCAACAAGTATGCGACCGATGATGAGCATAGCAACATGTGCCGCACCGGTCATCAGTGCACCCCCGAGGACCCCAAAAGCGCACCCGAACGCAATCGCTTTCCGTCTTCCAAGTCTGTCACTGGTTATACCGACAGAAGCACTTCCCAGCCATGCTATAGTTGGCGTAGAATCAGCTCACCGTAACCCCACCACCGGTTAAGAATTGTGACCCAGTGAGGACTTACCACCTACCTGATAGACTGACACAATAGCTCCTCGGATAGGTGCATCGGGATTCTTGAAGTATTCCAGGAATGAGTTCAGAGCGAGACTTGGAGTGATGATACCCGAGTCACTGTCATCAAGTTCGAGTCAACCCACCTGGCATATTCCGAGCCTTGATTAAGATGCAAGCTACTCACAAGCCGTAGAGAAAACCGCCGAGTCCTAGGAAGATCGAAGTCAAGAATGTTCTTGTGAGCCATATTTCTGTGATCTTGCCTCCCATGGTTCACCTTTGGCAATACTGCTTGGGTCAAATAGTCACTGAAACTGAGAGAAGAGGAACGCGGTTGTCAATCAGAAGATATCTTGAACCGTAAGCCGCAATACTATATCCTCACAGTTGCATTTCGATATTACATGGACACGATCTCTCAGGGACTTGGGGAGGTTAGGTCTGCCGAACTGCCGGTGTCGACTGAGCGGGAGGCATTCAGCCAACAATGAACCCCTCACGCACCTCTCTTCCAACACCCTGAATTCAGCCTAATGAGAGGAGAACCAATCAAGCAAGTAACACAATGGTATATGTTGCCCCGTCTCATCAACCAAGTACGAGATTCCGACGGCGAGTTCCAACACCTCATGGTGGTGGCCAGAATCCATCCTCAACCAAGGCATAGGAAAGATCAACCTCCCACGATGCGTCTCCAAGACACCATACGATGAAACCTCTTATTCAAGTGGAAGAGGGCATGGTAAAGATAACTGGCACTGTTATTCTTGGTTTGGTCCTTGCCATAGCCTTGTTATTATTTGGGCTCTTCTTCCCAGCGGTAGGATCAAGCCCTTCACTCGACCTAGTACACTACTTTCTAACACTCATCTAAGTATCTCAGTTACGGCAGCGATGGAGACTCCATGCACACCGCTCGAAACTCCCCTCAGGACCCAAGATAAATCAAATCGGTATTCGCAAGCCCTGGCTCAGCTTCCAAGAACTGAGCAATGAGGACGGCGATGTTGTCTACCTCCAGGTGGATCGACCCCGACCATCATCTTGGTTTTCGCCCAAGCAGCCTGGGACCTGCTGAAGAAGCACAGTGCCATCCACTAATTCCATCCACGCTTCATTATGGGAGGAGAGCTTCTTTCTCGTGGCACGCGAGGTCTGGTGGCTCTCTACTCGTCTTTCTGGAGGCATCGGCGTAAAGCCTTACACTACGGCTTCATGCAGCGCCAGAGCGAATCCTTTCGGCCGATCCAGAACCTTGAGTCCAAGGTCCTGTGCATGAATGCATAAATCGTTCATAGACCCCAAGGACGATCGAACGCATCTTGAGCATTATGCTACTTCAATGATCGTGACGGCAACGTATGGACGAAGGTTGAGGATGTTCAGACTGATGCAGTGGTGCGAACCAATCCTGAGTCCATGGGCCGTCTCAAATCTGTCAAGTATATCTCATTCTTGCCATTCCTTCACTATTCTCTTCTCTTTTCTATGTGTCTATCATTCCTCCTTTATTTGTATATTTACATCAGTTCATTTTCTTTTCTATCCCCGTTTGTGTTCTCTTGGTTGCACAACCAACAATACGTCCATGCCTCTTGTTATCCATCAATGGCACAGCATCCTAGGCAAGTTTGCCGTCGAGCAATATTCGGCTCTCGAATACGTGCCTAGTATCCTTGCGCTCTGGAAGGCCGAAGTGTTGACACAACAGCAAAAGGATGCCGACATATATCTCAAACTATTGAGTGAAATCAAAGACAAGATAAAACGAGGTGTAGCAGCAGACTGTTCCACTACATACTTGATCAACGAGCAGAAGAACCTTGACATGAATGACCTTGGGCTGGCATACGCCGCCGGTCCCCCTTTCGGTGCTGGAGTTGAGAGGTGAGTGCACGCTTCCAGCCCACCGCATGGGTGTCTATTCTTGCTGATATCTTACTTACGTACTGTACAGTCCGCCGCTTCTCTAGCCAGCTATCTCCTCGCCTGCGCCAAGTTCGGCTAAGACTTCATTCCCAACCACAGGCTGAGCTGGATAAAGTTAACGGCAGTGATCGGCTACCGACTTTTGAGGATATGGCGTCGTTCCCGTATGTTGCTGCCATCATCCCGGAAAGGCTGCGATGGAGACCCATTGCTGTGTCTGGCGGTACACCTCATGCTAGTATTGCGGATGATACATATAGGGAAATTTTTATACCAAAGGGGAGCACGGTTATTGCACCTCTTTTGGAGTGGTGAGTGCCCAAGTTCTTCTTCAGTTTTCGCTTTCGTCGCTGGCCTGACTCTCGCTCGTTTTCTCTCTCCTCAATAATGTGCTCGTGGAATTTACTTCTGTTGACGAGGGAGTGTGGGTGGTCCATACTTGTTGGGAGGGTTTGCAATGTCCATCATCACACTTTACTTCATGACCGTATTTGCTAACATGTTGTTTCGGTTCTTTTGAACCAGAATGACTTCCATGACCCTCACGGGCTCTCGCCTGAACGTTCTCTCGAGCACCGCAAATATCCGGGTCTGACTGGCCACAGCGCCTTCGGATGGGGTCGTCGTACCTGTCCCGGCATGCATTGAGGACATCCTTCAATTCTTATTTCCAGCATCGCGCGAACACTGTGGGAGGTTGATGTTTATCCAGCGAAGAATAACGTGGTACAGATATTGAAGTTGATATGTGGGTGGATTTGTTTCTGAGTCCCGTCCCTGTCTAGTTACAATGTGTGTGGTACTGACATCCTGTTTCACTCGCAGTTTTGCCTTTGCCGATGGTCTCAACTCAAGCCCCTTGCCGTTTGAGTGCTTTTTACAGCTCGCTCACCTAAGCACCAGAACCTCACTGAGTGGGAGTTTGAAGATTCATTGCAGCACTTGAAAATATATGCGGCCGAACATAATGAGTGAAGGGTGGAGGACATCCTAAGCTACATATATGTGCTTCTGGCGTCGATTTTTATTTCGCTTGTACCGCTGCCATACCGCTAACAGAATGAGAGGCCTTCATACCAAAAGCCATAACTGGTTTTCTAGTCCACCTCACTATCAATCAGTGACAACTTCCTTACGGCAAGTCATCATCACCATTTTTCTCCGATATATCAGACCTGTCTTCATAACCTCAGTATCTAGATATGTGAACTAAAGCGAGATATATGCAGCTTTGGTTTAGGATACCCATACAAGAGGACAACTCCGGTGATATTTTGTGATGACCGTAACTCCAGGAATATGCTTTAAACGAAAAAAAAAAGTGCTCCAGAGTTTGAAGCAAGAAACGAAGCGATGCAATGCGAGAGGGCCTAGTGTTGCTTCAAGCTCTGACAGCCGGAACTGTTGTCATCACTAGATGGTGTTGAGTATATCTTGCTTCCCATGGAGTGGCAGTGTGACCGAGTATCGGTCTCGTTTCAGCTAACATAACCATTAGACATATAAGCAACAACAAGCGTGTATTCAACAATTTTACGCTTACCTGGATCGTGTACTGCGATGTTTGGAGTCGCCTCTGAAGCTCCTGTTTTAGCTCGTCCGCAGTTACAGCACTAGCTGGTATCTCAAGAATGGTTCCCCCTCCTTCTGCAGCGGCGTGATACTTTGCTTGTCCCATAACGGCGGAGAGCTTCCCAGCTGTGCGATATAAGGCCATGATTACGGACACGGGGATTTAGTCGTTTGTCTCTTGTGAATCCTCGCAAGGTCTTGAGTGTTGTCTGTGCTCGTATTATGGCAGGTTCTGATAGGGGTAGGCTGATAGGAATGACAACAACAATTGCTTATGGTCGAAAAAAGTATTGAATGGCTTAATGCCCTTTTTCATCATCAAGAATGTTGTTCCTTACTGACTTAATACCACTACTAGTTTCCTTGATCACGTTAATCGGCCTCTGGTTTTCATCGCACTGTCCGAAGAATTTCGCCCCCTGATCAGCCTCAGCCAGCTTATGTTTCAGCTCCCGCTCATATTCGTCGCTTTTGCGGTAAAGCAATTGGGAGGTAAACATGCAGGTGGTCTTACGCCCTAAGTTAGGGAAGCAGGTAGGACAGTGGATGTGTGAATTCTGCAGGGTACATACCTCTACCACCGCCCTGTGGCAGTGCGCGCATGGACAGCTCTGTTGGGAAACTCAAAGTGAGCCATGGATTGGTGTGACATGGGCGAGCGCGGGCTGCAACAGTGCCGTGAAGCCTCGTAGATTACGCCGGCTGAGGCCGGTTGTCTGAATTCTCTTGAGTGGCACTCAACTTCTTGAATCAGAAGCCATGCTGTGCACCTGAAACAAGGAACAGGATTGGGAGGCACTTTCTTTCATCGAATCTGTAGGCGGTGGCAGAGCCTTACGAGAGATTGATAGGTGGTACAAACTGAGCTAGTTGTGGGCTTGTGGCAGTGTAGGTAGTACATCTAGCTGCGTGGAGTGTCGCCGCTAACACATTATCGATCTCATGCCATTTTCATGTATGAGGTGGCGCAGCATGGGTACTTCCCACTTCAACCCGAGTTAATACCTTAGTAGGTATGACCTTCCTCTGTGCGCAGAAAAGTCTTGAGCTATTGGAAAAAATGAAAAGACTTTTGCCTCGAAAGGGCGACCAGAGGCAGTTTTGGAAGTTTGAACATTTTCTCTTCCAGATGTGCTAACCTTGATGTTTGATTCCGTAGAGGACGACTATACTCATTCTAATCTTGACCTCTTTTTTTTCTTCCTTTTTTTCGTGTTTGTTCGTACCTCGTAAGGATTTTGTCCTCAAAGCGCACTGTGGGTTGTGGAGCGGCTCATTCATCCCCATGATTGAGGTTGGTATACATGACGAATGCGAAGAGAGGAGCGAAAATGAAGTGAAGGGTAATCACTGACCAAAGGAACTCTTTATAGGCGCCAGGTCGAGGGCATTCACTACTGTTAGAGTTTCAATGCTGTCATTGCACCTGTCCAATCTACTTCCACCATCGGACGGAATCCGGATGGTGTGAGTGGACTTGCAATGAAACTTCACGCGGGATGGGTGCTACACAACAACTCGCATGAGGCAGAGAAACAGTATAGCTTTTCGGAGCAAAGTAGAGCTGGCGAGAGGCCCCCATTCCTTACCATAGGAGGGCCATTAGAAGACTCCGCGCGCCATAATGTTACTTTGGAGACCGGCGAAGGGCGGTTTATACTCAAAAGTCGTTTCGCGCGTTGCTAACATTCCCCATTCCGTTCCCGTTTTCGGTGTGAAATAGGAAGACGCGGCATAAAATCCTTCAGGTGGAGGCCTAGGTAACCGTCCCTCAAGTGCGCACCAAAGGCGCAGCCAAGGGGATGTATCAATGACCTCTGGTAGCAGACAAAACCCATTGTCAATCACGGCCCAGGTCTCAAGGCATCCATTTCTTCATATTCAGCCGCATCTACACACATAAGGCTCTGAATGCCTTACGATATCGATGCGAAGAAATATGGACTCCTCGTATCACACCCACCACCTTCAGTTCTCAGATGGGTTGCGGGCCATTGCAAATCCTGCTGCTAACTAACTGTACTTATTTACCCTGCCCAACCCACCATACGTCCGTCTATTGTGCAATGGAGTGAAACAGAACGATGGGGATCGATATTCAAGCACTTGACGAGTCACCGCGTTGGTTGAATCCGGGTACCTTATGTATTCACTATCTGCTTTTGTTACAGTCCCACTCATTCTTCACTTTGTCCTCCCCCACTTGATACCTCTTTCGTCGTCGTGCCCATTTTCGGGGCTAACGACGCCTTTCGCCTACCTATCCTTCTGTTCTGTCCACGAACTGCTTTCAGTTTGACTCAGTGTCTGCTGAAGATTTCCAAGCCCACCACCAACATCTTTCCTGCACAACATAAGGTCTGTCACTTTGACACAGCGCATACTTCTTGCCACCATACAACCCCTACGATGGCTCCAAGAGTCAAAGAAATCGGACTTGCCGATCCGCGTGTCGACAAATGCTCCGATCGTGGCAACCAGTACTACGACGATGATCATCCTATTGAAAGACCGAACACCGACATTGTACCCCAAGATAGTGGTCCAGATATATTTGACATTATTCGTGAAGCGCTTGAAGCCCAGGAAGTCGACAAAGGAAAAGGCTACTTTATTCCGCGAAGCTCGCTCCAAGAGATATTCACTCCCGGACGTCTCCTCGCAACCATACAACAACTGTGGAAGGATGTCCCAGAAGAAGATCACCAGCGACTTTGTATCCGTGTTCTCCACGAAGTTCGTTGCTGGAAGGTCTTTGTCTTGTTTATTTATACACAACAACATGAGTTACTTCCTGCACTTTGGAAGAATGAAAGTGGCACGGATAGCCTGAGGCTGTCAGATCAATGCCTACCCTTGATCTCGATCACCCCTGACGGCAAGATTGCATGTCAGAACAAGACTCATTCTCATCAGCTTCCCGGTTGTGAGACCAAAAAGATACCAGGGAAAGATTCCAGGCACATGGTACAGGCCAGTTACGTATTCAATGCCGTTTACTTTAAACTTCCGACAAAAGGCAAAAAGGTTCATGTCCACTACAGCCTCGGTCCAAAAGACGTCCTGCCATACACAATCGACTCCTTTCCATTCAACAAGAGCTTAGGTAACGAGGGGGCTGGCTCAGCTGGGCGAACAAGCAACAGTGGCAATCCTAGATCTGACATGGACCAGGATGGCAATCTTCACGGCGGGTTTGGCGAAGTGACGAGAATTACCATTGATCGAAGTCACTTTAATTTTGGTCATCATGGAGTAAGTTGCATTGAGCACTTCCATTTTCCACCTCTTCGTTGGTGTCGGCATTCCCTCTTTTGGGCAGGTGCTAACCCGTCTTCCAGTCTCATGACGGCAATAACAAGGAGGAAGTGACCTTCGCCCTCAAGCGGCTACACGCGTCCGATAAAGAGGCTTTCGACAAGGAATTGGCATCCCTAATCACCGTCAAGACCCAGAAAAGCACGCACCTCATCAAGCTGCTCACCACATTTTCCGTCATTGAAGAAGATGGCGGAAGTGAAGTGTTCTACCTGCTCTTCCCCTGGGCAGAGGGGAACCTGTGGAAATACTGGAAATTTCACCAGCCCAGAAACCAACAGGAACGCCTAACCTCCGCTTTGTGGATGGCTCAACAATGCCACCAACTCGCTCGTGCTCTGCTGTGCGTCCACAATGAGAGAGAACAAACGCTGAAATTGTACGAGTTTCCGGCAGGAAAAGACGAGCTATACGGACGTCACGGCGATATCAAAGCTGAAAATGTTCTTTACTTCGAAGGTGACGGCATGCTTGTACTTTCTGACTTTGGGCTTGGTCGCCTTCACACCAAATATTCTCGATCCAATGCTGACCCCAAAGCTCTCGAGAAATCAGCAACCTATCGAGCACCCGAGTTTGACCTCGCTAGAGGTCGCATATCTCGAGCATCCGATGTCTTTTCGTTAGGGTGCATGTTCCTCGAGTTCGTTACATGGCAAATTATGGGATATGACGCTGTATACGACGACTTTCCCAATCACCGCATGGAAGAGGACATCACACATGGATTCGAGTCGGATATTTTTTTCAAGATTGAGGGCGAAACCGCTATCATCAAGCCCAAGGTGCACGAGTGGATGGTGCGGCTCAAGCAACACGAGAACGCATCCGAGTACACTAAGCAGTTTCTCGATGTCATTGAGGAGATGCTCAGCCCATATCCGAAGGATCGAATCAATGTTGTGAAGCTTGTTAGAAAGCTTTATCTTCTCAGAACAACGTGTGAGAACGATACAAGCTACTATGGCGGTGAGTCCCAGTCAAGAAGTTATGTTTTCCAATGATTGAACTACCATGGGTGCCCTACTAACACTCGTACAGCTCTACATTCGTGAGGTCTCAACCGCAAAGCCACGGCTGGAACGTTTGGAAAGGCATTGTATTTTGCTCATCCTATCTATGGCTATCAGAATCCCGGGCAATGAGTGCCTGGTTAGCCTGCAAGGCGTTCTGGAGCTCAATCACGCCGCACCGGAATCGCAGCAGCTGGGTGAGCACATCCAAGTAAAGCAGTTGGTTGGGTGATTTTTTAGAGCGCCTAGTGGCAACCGCCTATTTTTCCCTTGCTTTCATTATACGTTTCCTACCACTGATCTTTACATCATGCTGGATCGTGGGAGGTAACTTGTATGGTCATCCTTTCCCTGGCAAAACGCCTTGTATTTGTGTTGGTTTTTGTTTTTGTTTCAAATCCGTTTGCGTTCCATGCTCTTTCTTTCTTTCTTTTTCTTTTCTTTTTTTTTCTTCTTTCCCCTTGCATCTCGTTCCTAGATTGCCTGTTGAACCTCGACACCCCCGAAATTGCTAGTAGTGCGAATAGACTGAGTTTTCAAGCTCATCCATTTCAATCTGTACGCGCAAGCCATTTTGAATTAGCATAACATTCCAACGATTTCGTTCTGTCCAGTAAGCTCGCAGTTTTGCACCAACATTGCTCATTTCTTTGGGAATAGTCACAATCCACCGATCCGCCCTGACCTGTTCCGGTTCACACGTCAGTAAAGGTTAAAACAGAATCTAGACCGATCGGTTACGCAGTAAGGTCGGCACGTACTTTGATCCTATAGTTCCCCTCCCCATACATCGCAGTCAAAGCCTGCTTGAGCTTGAGAGGATCCCGATACTTCTTTCGCAGGACATGGTCATACCACTGGATTGGCGCAGGCGGAGCCTGATTTAGGCTGACCGCTGTAGATGAGGGAAGCATGGTGCACGAACGTTGTGGCTGGTGAGGTGTTCGGTGGTGGTGATAGAGATCAACCTATCTTGATGTAGGCCTAACTGCCGACACGTTCTATTCTTCTAATCAGACTGGATTGAGACCTGTGTCGTCAGAAGTCAGATGTAAAGGTTATTCGAGGAAATCAACCAGCAGGGATTGTAACATGATCCCGATGTCAAAGGTCCGAAATAGGGCAAAGGCAGAAAACTAAACGGCAAGCTTAGGTACGGCCGAGAAAGAAAACACTTCAGGTCACACAACATATTTTGTTACGAGCGGACGGTTCTTTGCAGGTTTTGTTCATCAGGAAATACAACCAGTCCCAGTTGGAGAAAAGTTTGGGGTCATAAGAGAAGCAAAGTAAGGCGGTGGTAGTGCAAGAATGCTACCACCCCGAATACCTCTTACCACCAACAGGCACTAGCAGAATTCCTCGTGACGTACACAACGTGATGCTTCGCCACAATTTCCGGTCAATAAGGAATCAATTGGTTGGCTGGAGACTTTCCATGTCAGCTTGCATAGGACACGTGCGGAGATCGTGGCGAGGCAGAGACGGCAGAGGGAAATTCTCTCCAATCCCTCTCACTCACCGAGTACACATGTTACATTGACAGACCGAATTTACCATCTCACGACCTCAAGTGTGCCTGAAAGTCAGCCTCATCTAACGTCAAGTAATAATGTACAGCACCTCTCGCAGGATTGCGAGACGCCCAGCGCTTTTGGCGGAGGTTCTAGCTTAACCTGGTTCAATCATCACCCGGAGACGTCGCGACCCTTGTCAGGTTCGTCCTTCGTCACAAGATCCTCAGGCAAACACCAGCGCCATCTCAGGTCTCTCGCTCAACATCGCCGCTCATAGTTCGGTTGTGTGATTATTGGAAGAAGATAGTTGTCTGTGACGAAGATGGATTACGACCGTACTTCGCTTGAGTGGTCCGAACGCGACTTTTCCAACTTCACTTGCCAATTTCCAGACGAAAAGACAACGATAGTGACGAAACTCGCGAATGAAGAAGCAAGTACTTTTAGGACCGCTTATTTCGAGATGGGCAGTCGAAGGACTATTGCTGATCAGTTCCGATGATTTATAACAGGGACCTCCAACACTCGAAGTCAAGACACTGAGCACTAATGAAGAATGGGAGACCTGGCTCAAGAACGTAAATGACCTCTGTACAGATTGAAAATCGAAAGTGATGAGATTTGCATTACATGATGGATGAGCTAACATCTCATTCTGGTCAGGCTGTCCTGGACTTTCTTCCCTCGTCCGGCCACCCGCGTTCTGGCATATGTGCTGTGTAAGGAAATAAGCACTTTTCTTTGACTCCACCTTTCATTTTTCTGTGTAAGCCCTTCTTGAAGATATCAAGGGTTCATAATGAGCGTCCCTTGTTGACGGTATAATGCAACAGAATCTTCGGTAGCGTCGAGCCTATCTTTGACGATGATGAAGATGGGGCAAACACACAGTCACCGGTATCCTATCTCCCATTTAGCAGCGATGACATCCTCTCACAACTCGTGCACGAGTTTCATCTCCACCCAAGGATCACTCGGACGATTAGTAGATTGAGCTGCTACTTCTCTGCTCAGCGTCATTACTCTGACGATGACGATCTTCCAAAGGGGGGCAAGGAGAGAAGACCGATGATAAGTACGGTGCAATTAGTCCTTGCATACTAGAGGTAGGAACCAAAGATAACTGGACTAACCTTTCCTCGCTTCAAACAGCATGCACAGCGCGAACTTCGTCGACATTACCGAACGACATGGCTTTGTCGACGACGTACTTTACCGAAATAGACCTCAATCTTGCAGTGTTCTACGGATGCAATGAAAGACAAAAAGAAGACATATCAAGAAGAATCAGGTCGTGTGACCTCAAGCACAACCACCCATTACTCCTACCCGGCTTGTTCTTTGAACTCGAACGTATCCGTCTAGTCGATCAGGTAGAGAATCTTCTGGACAACTTTGAACTTCGGAACAACTATGAGTACAACCAGTTAGAGAAGGTCGGCGGCGCAAGAGGCCTGGATCTAGACATGGACAAAAAACGAATGACAGACGTGCTGAAGTCGACGTACAGATCCAGGGAGTTGGTAAGCTTGATAATGGCCGTAAAGAGACAACTGAAGAAGTTTGAGACGGCGATGGACATGGTGGAAACCAGCGTCAAGTCATCACCTTCATCTGCCTTCTCTTCGGGCTGTCTGACACGCACCCCTTCAGCAACCTTGTCATCGGCACCTGGCTCACGAACAATGTCCCGCTCCACAACGCTAGAGGTGAACAGCGAGGAAAACTACACGCAGCAGGGGCTGCCTCGTCTTTCTGGCGTATCGGGCTACTTACGGCTTCAAAGAGCTGGAAGGATGATTCGGGAAAGGCTGCAGGATATCATGTTCGAATTTGATGATAAGATCAACGATTGCCATCTCGTGAAAGACAACATGTCACTGACAATGCAAACGGTACGAATGCCAGATGAAGGACACTCAAGTGTCTACACACCAAAGAAGCTGACAGATGAAATTACACATTTTTCTAGGTCTGGAGCTTCTTCTCACTTCAAGACAATCAGACCAATCTGAAGCTGTCGAGACTCAACACGAAGCTAGCACACGCAAACACCGGTCTCTCAGAGGAGATGAAGAAAGACAGCTCGCAGATGCGATCGATTGCTTTGCTGACAATGGTCTTCCTGCCCATGTCAACTGTTGCGGTATGTCACGACTCGCGCTTTTCCCTGCAGGATAGTCAAGGAAATTGTAAAGGAAGACACATTGCTCAAACAACTTATACTCACTCTCCAGACCATCTTCTCAACCAATTTCTTCTCGTGGGATGCCGCGGAAGGCCAAAGCGTCGTGTCCAAGTACTTCTGGGTATTTATCGTCGTTGCCATTGCTCTCACATGCATCGTCGTCGGGGCATGGTACACGGCCACCTGTGCGAAGGGTCGCAAGGGCCATCGTCATTGCTGTATACGCTTGCCATTTGGTGCCTTGTTCGGCAGAAAAGCTGGATCGACTGACGACGACCTCCAACCCCACAGAAAATCGGGCAGAAGGGTCTTCGAGGACGAAGAGAGGGGGGTTTCACTTGATCTCTAGAGGTAGGGGAGGAAAGAATGGACTCCCTGCCATAGCGTACTCGATGCTAAGGAAAGTACGATGCGATGCGATGCAAATGTTAACGAAAACTGAAGGGGCAGCTGCATGTGAGTATCCCTACATAAGTCAAGGGGCCCCTTTCTCTCCGGGAAGGCATGATGATGATGATGATGATGATCGCGGGCAGGCAAGCAAGGGCGGGAGATTTTTACACCATCTACTAAGTATCTACTTCTGTTTCAACGTGCAAAAACCCATGGGTAATTCGGACCTTGAAGTCACACCTGGTTTGAGTGAGAATGATGAGTGTATCCCAGAATTGATCCAGATCGGTAACTGCGTGCGCTCAGGTCCAAGTCCGACGCCCCCATGCGTTCCTCTTTCCCCTTTCCTCCAGTCTCCATGTCTATCCTGGAGGATGCAACCAAGAAACCCGGTAAAAGAAGAGGAGAGAGAATATCATCTCCGGCAAAATCACCCTTCACGCATCTGATGCATTCGATAAGGACGGTAGTGGTGGGGTGGTGGGTTGGGCTGGTGGCCTAACTTCGAGACTACCTCGTAGGTACCTAGTCACATCTTCAATCTAAAAATTGGATCCTGCAATCTCGACATCGACATTGACAGCCCTGGGTCATCATTAGGTCAGCGAGCCCGAGAGTTTCAGTAGATTGTGGTAACAATCACATTACAGGGACTTATGAGCAGACATGACCTTTTTTTACGAGTTTGGCAGACATCGTGGAGTAACCGTCGGCACCTGTTATGTATAGCAATATATAGGCCGCGGCCACTATTTATCCGGTTGGAGGCTCAAATTCACCCACTTCAGACCTCCCCCGTTCGGTCTGTCTGTATGTTTCACAACCACAAGATAAGATAAACCAACACAAAACATGATCAAAAAACAAATAAAAAAATTATATCCTGGTCAGTCTCATGGGTTTACTTGTCAAGGATGTCTGTTCCGTTGCTGTCAACTGTTTTGGCTTGGCCGTCTCTTTCCATTATAACGCACGGCGGCCGACATGACCATAGAGGCAAACCAAACCACCCCTATCACTCAAATAAGGCAGATAACAAAAAAAAAGACCTACCTTATGCAACTTATCTAGTCGCCCGGAGGAACGGCAACTGTCGATGAATCCGGCAGTGTCTAATAACTTCCGGAACATATGTAGACCAATCACTTATATTATACCCCAATGTGAACAAGACCTTCGGCCTTATTTCCGTAGCATCGGCAGTTAGTAACTTGCCGGCGAGCCTGAACTAATCATGTGCCTTGGTGGGAAGGGAACACTCGTCAACTTGGTTACGGCTGACCACGATTCGTTCATGGTATTGTGTCGTGTTGTGGTATTGAGGGAGGGAAGCCGGCTGGTGGAAAAAAAATGAGGGGAGATCAGAGTAAAGGGGGTGAAAGGCGATCAGGGCTTAGGTATGTTATGTATAAGTGTGTCGTGCGACATCGCGATCCTTCCCTCGTCGTCTTTGTCTTCCCCTTCTGTCTTTATTTTTTTCCTTAATACACTTGTCTTCAGCAGCAGCAGCAGCAGCAGCAGCAAGTCCAGTCCCTCTTTCTAGACCTATTTGTTATCCATCAACAACAGTCACTCTCCACCACCAACAAGCTAATCCGCCCCGAGCCGACCGACTTGCAGGCTGTATTGAAGAACGGAAAACATAAAGAAGAAGACAAAGAAGAAGAAGAAAAGAAAGACAACATGCAGTCGTGGGCGACCATTGCCGCCGCCGTGGCGCTGCTGGCAAACGGGGCCGTTGCGCAAAACATGTTGCGCTTCGCCTGCTCGCAGCTGGTCGTCGACCGCGTCGACCCTCTCGTCAACCCGGGCGTCCGCTACACGCCCCATCTCCACCAAATCGTTGGCGGTAACTCATTCAACCTGACTATGGACCCGGACTCGCACGATCTAGCCGGCCAGTCGACCTGCACGTCGTGCAGCTTCGCGCAGGATCTGTCCAACTACTGGACGGCTGTCATGTTCTTCAAGGCCAAGAATGGCAGCTATCACCGCGTGCCTCAGGTCGGTAACGGCGGTCCGCAGGGCAAGCTTGTCAATAATGGTGGTCTTGATATATATTATATCCCGAGCGGGAAGGTCACCGCTTTCAGGCCGGTAAGTGACTGTCCCCAATACCCACACTTTTTCACCATCATGGACTTCCCTGAGTTGCTAACAACAACCGCTAGGGCTTCCGCATGCTCGCCGGCAACGCCGCCAACACCGACCCCAAGAAGGTTTCTTCCGGCAACATCTGCCACCGTTGCTGGACCTCGACAAACGAGGGTAACTTTATCGGCGGCGCCCCTTGCACCGGTTCCGACACCGTCGATATTCCTCAAGATACCAAGTGCAAGATGATTCGCCAGACAATCATTTTTCCAACGTATGTTTTTTTTTTTTTTTTTCTTTTTTTTTTTTTTCCCCCTCTGTTCTCTCCCCATCCCAGTGTTCACCACCGAACTGAATCAACGACTTGGTCAAAACACAGCTGCTGGGACGGCAAGAACCTCGACTCTCCCGACCACAAGTCGCATGTCGCCTATGGCGGCGGTTCCGGTGCCAATGGTGGAGGCTCCTGCCCTTCCACGCACCCCGTCAAGCTACCGCAGATCATGTACGAGCTCATGTGGAATGTGACGAGCTTTGCCGACAAGAGCATGTGGCCTGAGTCGGGCCCTGCATTTGTGTACAGCATGAACCTTGGGTGAGTGTTTCCGTCCATCTTGTCCTAATTTCCTGTTTCATCGTACAGTGGAAAATATGATACTGACAGAAAGCAAAAACAGTGGCCCCGCCGCCCACGGTGACTACGTCTTCGGCTGGAAGGGCGATTCTCTTCAGAAGGCCATGGACAAGGGCTGCAACCTCAATAAGGACTGCCCGTCTGCTGGTCTGACTGCGCAAACTCCGGCGCAGTATAATGCTTGCACTATCAAGCAGCAGGCTCCTGAGCCTGTTGATGGCTGTAAGTTTCTCTTCTCTTCTTTCTCTTCTTCTCGCTTTTTCCTTTTTTTTGTTCTTTCACCTTCCATTTCCGGGCTCTGCTCTTCTTCTCCGGGTCCTATCATGAAAACCAGTAACTTACAAACCACACAATAACAGGGCTTAAGGCAATGCCAATGGGTGAAATGGCCATTAAGGCCTAGCTAGGCTAATCAGTTGGTGAAACGCAATGTTAACCGACCAGAAGAAAACTTGGGATTTCTTCTTTGTCTATCGTCAAGCTGTTCAGCATAGTTCGTGTAAGCCGTAGAGAAGCTATTACCTCACCTATCTGTTCTATGTTTCCCGGTTGGTGAATGGGCGTGTCTCTATCAGTTTGAGAGGTTTCGTCCATATCAGCATCTCTTCCATCCGCATTTATTCTCGGATATACAGTTGTATCCGAAAAACAAAGAAACCCATGTACTTACTTTGTTTCTGATAATGTCAAGCCTTTCCGGGTTCATTCAAAGACATCTGACCACCAGTGCCACCCTGCAATGCTGGCCGCCTGACCTAATCCCGCGAAACAGCATTTCGGTATATAGTAGGTTGTGGATTCTGCCTAAACTGTCAAAACGATGATCCCAGCATGCACTCCGCTCTAGAGTGTCAGTGGTAGTCGACCTTTTTCTTCTTACTTTCCGTACATCATCAGTCAGTGAAGTGAGCCACTTGACCCTAGGGTGACGATATCGGCATATTCACCAAAAACAACCACAGTCCAGGCCCAGCGCATGCCAAGCTCACATATGAAAGCAAGAGAATGAAATGCAAATATAAGTGTATTCTTTCTCATCCGTTAATGACATGATCCATCACATGATCTCTCGTATCATAATCACACTCAACAACACTTTCCTTAGTCCTGTTTGTCTCCAAACTTCGAATCATGTTGTACGCCATCGAGCTCGCCCCAAGGAAATCCCACATGCTGATGGGGAGGCAATTTTGAACATATGCTACATGAATAAACGCAACCAAACGAAGTTTAAGAGTCATTGCTTTTGTAGCAAGGAAAAGAAAAAAGAAAAGGAAAAAAAAAAAGCTGCTGATACCCTATGAATGCCGTTTAACTCCCTAGAAATTTTGACCCCTGAACGAGCAGAAACATCGAATTTATAAAATAAACAAAACGGTCTGTGGGCTTCGTTATACAGTCATTCTTGCCCACAGACTGCTCCCAAAACTTTTGAGCAGTACCAATCTCAACCATGCGCGGACAATGCGCTCCGAGGTGTTTTGATAGTGAAATAGAAACAAAATAGAGACTCAGTGTCCCGGGGTCGTTCAGTAAGCGACACCACTAGTACCTCGCCCAACAGTCTTAAAGCCGTAGCTCATGTACTGCCCGTCATCACCAAGGGTGTCGAAGCGGCTGATGCCAGAGTTGGATTTCTCGAGTCCGGTGCTGTAGCCGCTGAAGTAGTAGCCAATAACAACGACAAGGTAGCTCAAAAGCAAGATACTGCCCTTGAAGTAGTTACTCTTCCCCTCGCCGTACATGTAGCTCAAAAGGAAGACACACAGGATGACAGTGACCATATCCCATTGTGGGAAGAGGAGGCTAAAGGTATAGCGTGCCATATCTGCGACCGGTACATCCGGAGGATAGATGGCGGAGAATAGCACGAGTGCCGGGATTTGTAACAGGCAGACTTGCAGGGCATAGGCTGAACCAATTTCCATGGAGAGCGCAATGTTACCATTCATAGCAAAGGAGATGGCGTTCTGAACATAGATAAAAGTTAGCATCAGCCCTTTCTTTGGAGAGGAGGGGGAAAAAAAAAAGGAATAGCGCGGGCGTATTAAAGCTTACCAAGAACTCAGTGGTGTTGGGAACAAGGGCAAACAGCGTAATGCCGAGAAATTTCTCGTCGATTTCAAAGCTTTCAAGAACCACATCCACAGTGTCCACCAGGATCTCGGCAATGACAGCGTAGAGAACGGTAGCTCCCATGAGAATAATAGAACTCTTGAGCCGGCTCCAATTGGGTGCATCGTGACCACCTCCTGAGTGTGCAGCAGTAGTAGACTCGCCGCCAGCCTCATCGGCATCCGGGAAAGTTGCGGTGCGGATCAAACCACGGCGGCTTCCCGGGGCCGACTGTTGTTGACCTGTGATCGAAGAGCCTCCGAGGTGCGAGGTACGTCTTTGACTGGAATAGTTCCTGGCTGCCACGGTGGCGGCAGTAGCTGCAATTTCAGCGACCTGGTGCACGAGATTGTTATTCTCAGCATCAGAGAAGCCGGGTATGTTAAGAATGGTGGATGAATGTTGACTGTCGGTGGCACCGTATCCAGTCGATTTGGGAGGGACCATATGGGGAGTGCCGTTAGCCTTGGCCCCTCCCGAGACAGACGAACCTGGCCGTTGCGGCTCATCCGAGGGGCCCTGGTGACCGACTTGGCGGAGGGATTGGCCGAGTATGCGCTTGTAGAGATGCGAATCACGAAGATCAGCACCCGTGGTGTCACCGAGTGAGGTATGCACCGCGGAAGGTCGGGCACTGTTACGGGCTGTATTCTCCTCATGCTTCTTCTCATCCGCATCGGTATTCCAGATAACGGCGGCATGGGTGCGAAGCGTGAACCAAAGACCAATGATATATGATAAGAACAGCATGCCAGCAGCAATGTAGCAGTAGGGACGGACTGCCTCCAGGTAAAATCGATCATTCATAGCAGGGGTCTGAGAGAAGTAACAGCGACGGCAATCTCTCACTGAGCCCCTGGGATGATCAAAGTAAAGACAGTCCTGGCAGGTAAGCTCGTGGGTTCCGTAAATCTGGTAGAACAAAGTCGGACCAAAGGCGCCAATAACGGCAAATAGCAGCATGGTCGATGTCACGCCGGCTGACTTGGCGTTGAAGCGTTGTGTCTTGCGCTTGATGGCGCCGCAGCACATTGAGATACCCGGAAGGAAAAGAATACCGGCGAAGATACTCCCCATAATGCTTCCTTCGACCAGTTGTGCTTTGCCTTGCTGCAGAGCAACGCAGTAGAGGAAGACCTCCACAATGGTAGAGAAGAATGCATTGATGGCAGCACCGAAGCCCATCGACGACTGTGCGGAGATGGAAGCAACAGCTTGACCAATGAAGTAGGCAAGAGGGATGATGGACAAGAGGCCAGTGACGAACAAAAAGGCAGGCGAGGTAAAGAAGTTGTGGATCTCCAAAACCCCTTCAAGGACAATCCAGTCAAAGATGACAAATATGACGATAGCCATCATGTTGACCAGGAAAATGTTGGTTCCGTCGATGGTATACTTCCAGTACTTTATACCGACAGCACGATACGTGCAAATGAGGATGGAAGAGTGCGGCGTGGTGGAGGCCCGGGCGGTCGAGATGTCGGATTCGAACCACAGGGCCAGCGGATGGCGTCGAAGATGGTCGATGAGAAGCATGGTAACCTTGCCCATGGGGATCCAGAACACCAAAAACCAACAGATTGCGGATACAATGAAGAGCGAGGGCATGATCATGGTGTAGAAGAAAAGGAAGTAGATGACTCGCCCAACATTCCATTGGCCACGGCCGAACAGTCTTCTCTTCATACGAGGAAGGTCAGAATCGGAACCATGGCCACGACCGCGGCCGAGCAGGCTCTCCGTCTCGTCGGGTTCCGAGTCCAGACTCCGGCGAGAGTGGCCAATAATCGATCGGTCTCGCTCGGGGCCAAAGAATAGGCGGCCATCCTCGAGGTCACCGCTCTGCCACTGCTCGTACTCGCTGATGCTTCTGCCTTCGTCCTGATCCTCGTCCAGATAGCCATCCTGCTGCTCCAAGCGGATAAACTTGCCGAATGGATAGAACAGGTAACCGGCAAGTCCCCAGAGGACTCGTCCGTACTCTCGACCACTAGGAGCAGCAGCAAAGACGAAGCAGACAATGGCACCTGTGTAAGCAATGAGAGACATCCACCAGCCAAAGGCCAAGGTCCACATGATGTTGAAGAACAGCAGCCATCGACTGACATGTCCTCCAGGGGACGAGTGGATATCTCCCTCAGCCGTCTTTTGAACCGAACGGTGCTTTTTGTACAGGGCCGGTTTCCACAGCCTGATGCCAAAGGGATGTGTTTCGTTGATTGCCTGCTGGCGGTCCTTCAGCGTGAAGCTTTCGGCATCACTGATATCGCCATCATCATCCTCAACCGGGGTCTCACCCTCGGCACTGTCTTCTTCGGCTGGAGGAGGCAGGTTGAGTTCCCCTTCCTGGCCCGGGGTGTCGACTTCTTCAATGACGTCCGGAGTATCCCGATCCCGGCTATCGTTTGCTCCGTCCTCATCTAAAATCGAGTGTACTCGGGATAAGGGAGCAGGAAGTAGGTTTCGCCTGCGGGCTGTAGAGCCACTGTAGCTCTTCTGGCGCCCAGCAGCATCAGCCTCGACTTCGGTTATGTCGTCATCGACGGAGAAGACCTCGCCGCGGTGGGGGGCTTGGGCATTGGACGAAGTGCGTCGCGCCATTGGGGGCTTGCGAGGTCGTGGTCGTCCGCGATCGGGACCTACCATGGGCGAACGTGGGATACCGGTCTGGGAAGCGCGGGAAACGGCACGTTCACGTTCGGAGGCAGTGATAGAAGGCGCACCCTCCGCATTGGCCATGTTGGCGGCACCTAAACATGTGCATGGTATGGTCAGCGAGGGTACGATACAAGCCAAGGAAGTCCAAGAATACACAAGGATGCCAAGGTGGGCAGTGGGAGAAGATGGCAGAAGAAGTACCCACCAGCAGGGCCCATAGGGTCTGGCAACCTCCGCACAATGTCGGTGGAGTGATAGCTGGTATCCGGAGGGTTCATGCCGGCATCATCATGTCGGGTTTCGGTGGTGTTGATGAGATCCAGGCGCGAATTTCGGCGCGTGTTGGTGGGGGACGGATCGGGACGGTCTTCGTCGCCCGTCTGGGAGGGAGGACCCATAGTGAGGGGTTGCGTGTGGATAGCAATGCCGGTGGACGGTGATCAACAGCAATCAATGGTGCTTTCTCTTTTTTTTTTTTTTTTGGGAGGGGTTTTTGTTGTCTGGTGCTACAGTAGGAAGTATACCAGGGTCAAGCGATGCACGTAGGGTTGTGGTGTTGAGGATGCTGATTCCGTCCGTCCTTTGAAGGATCCGACCTTGGAAGTATTCAGCGGCAGCCGAAGGTAGAGATAGGTGTTTGGCGAGTATCTGTCGCAGCGCAGGAGTTGGCGACAACTATGTAAGCTAGGAAAAGGATGTTGAGTCTGGATCGATCAGAGTGACTCGGTGAGCAGTGAGGCGAGATGGGTAGTTGGTACGGCACGACAGTTGCACCAAGCAATGGAGAAGGAAGAGTTCATGATGGGATTTCCTCCAGACTCGAACTGGCGGCCGCGACGGTGGACGGGATGAGGTTCGTTAGGTAGGTACTTATGAGAAAGACGAAAAGGCCGGATGATCAGATATGATGAGGTGCCAAACTAAATGCGACAACTCTTACTGGGCGTGGCCTGATGACCCGAGTAGGTAGGTTGCAACTGTTGCGAAGGGCCGACCGAAGCTTGGTGGTGGTGGACTGGATGGAGGTTTGTTCCAGCGCTTGTCAGTGTGAAGCAGGAAAAGATCGACCTTCTGGCCCCCCCCCCCCCCCTGCCCGTACTGTGCAGCGTCTTCCTTGTAGGCAGCTGCTATGGCTAGCTGTACCCCTACCCTGAAAAACGATGATGAAGACAGGACTGTAAACAACACTTGACGAAACACTGCAGTGGGTGTTGGGCTGGGCGCAAAGACAGAAGGACGCTAGAGACTCTTCTTTAAGGTATTGGGCTGAAAGGCCATGCCAACAGGGGACAAGAGTCTTGGGTTAGGCCTGGAGAGTCGCGAAGACTACCTCTAGAAAAGAAGGATGCTGAAGACAATGGTACCTCTAGGAAAGAGTCGGATGACCGAGTCAACGTTTTCTTTTCCAGAGATGGAAATTTGGGGAAGAGTTTGGATCCCAAGCATTAACACCGAGACGGGAGTGGTG